CAAGTATTAAAATGGCTTCAGCACGTGACGTCGTGAAGTGTCAGACATTTTAAATGTCTGCAAGAGAGAGAGAGAGAGAGAGAGAGAGAGAGAAATGGGGTTTAACGTCCACTCGACACAAACTAGGTCATTTTGGGACTAACATACGGTTCAATTTTATTTCAATAATTCGCTTGCGCGTAGGGGTCTTTAGCAGTGGGAGGAAACCGGAGGAGCCGGAGAAAACCCACGAGTTTGGACAGGCGACCCCTACTCCTTGTCACGTACAACCGGGGAATCGAAACCCCGCCAGTTTACTCAATGACAGACCGTATAATACAGCGCGCGTGCTATCCATTCGCGCCCCCCCCCTCCCGTTCTTTAAGCACGTATTATACTAGTCTTGATCAATCGGTCGGAGCCACGATGGCTATGTGGGTAAGACGCTGGCTCGCTAGCCTGGAGGTCGCGTATTCAATCCTTGCATTTGTCGAGAAAGTTCATCGGGATTTTCCGACGTGGTTTCCCATTGTCAGTGACGCAGGCCGGAGAACCTGACAAGGACAGCTGTCTAGTCGTTCGAATGGCACGAAAACCGAGGTCCTGTGTATACATTGGCGTGCACGTAAAAAATCCCTTGGCACTTGGAATTCGATATAAGAGTAAGCCATAGCACACTGAATGGCGTGTGCCCGTCTTCATTAGTCCAGTATCGGAGCAGAACAGTAGGACGTTAAACCCCTTTTCATTTTATTTCATTTTTGACCTATCGGCTTTCCTACTGTACATGCCGCGATAGCAATATATTTTTTAAAAAAGTACACAGAATAGCTATGTAGCTACAATTTTTTTTAGAAAATCTGCAATGGTTATAGTTCTCCTTTAAAACTGATGATAAGCTATCTAAAGACAATGACAGGCCGATTGATGCAAACAGTAAAATCTAGATGCTGCCAGTCTATCTGTTAACATGACAACTATCTTACATACTTTATGTGTTGAACTAGTTGAAGAAAGCCTTTTCTCCAATATATGTTTGATTACAGCTGCCTTAGAATTGCCATGACTGCCAGCCAAGCATAGACGTACCTGAATAAATGTGTCAGAAAACAAAGTTAACACCATGCATGTTATTACACGAAAACCAGTTCTAATATTACAGTGAATTGCTGCCATGCTGTTAATAGTCCCTTTTATATTCACCAGATTAATATGACACATGCTAGGACATTGGGGACATAGATGCCCCCCTCCCCGGAAAGACTACAGTGGGCCGATGTATCGGATACAACAGAAGATAAGAGATATTACGAACACTTAGAGACTATCTTAGAAACAGATAATAAGCAGCTTATCTCGTCTATCCCTGGTAAACACATGTTGAATAGTGTCCGGTCAACTATATGACGGCTACTGGGTGGTTAATTCCTAACTCGGCATAAAATATGGCCAATCGAAAATTGAATATTTAATCGAATTTCTTTTCTCGTCTTTTAGGTGCGGAATTTCAAAAATCGCTGTCATATTATAAATGGGTGAAGCAAAATATTAAAGTGGCGACATTCCAGAATAAATAACCTGTACAATGAAAAAGAAGATAGTTGAAATACGTGCACTATCAACCCAATCAAGCTTGACGAAAGTTACTGTCATTTGTAGCTAACAGTTTCTACCAATTTCAAACATATCAGATAACTTGGAGGTGGTGATATTATCTAATAATGTAATAATGAATTTACTAAGCGCCAGAACTCGAACACCAATGTGTTACCTGTATCTAAATAACCCTTTTCACATAAATTGGGTCCTTCGTTTTGTTTAATAATGTAGTTTCTGAATTTTGTATTTTTATAACTATTATTTAAAAAAAAATCATTATAGATGTATTGTGGAATGTATATTGTTTATCACAAAATTAATTTTAAAGTGTTTCTTCAGAAAATTTTACACATGTCGCATTTTCGTGAATTTCACACTACACTTTTCAGAGTGTTTTCGAACTCATTCTTTCCAAATGAAAGAACACTGGCGTCTGTGTCCAAACAACAAATACGGCGAAGATTTTGACCGCGCAGTGTTTTAACTGATTTAAATAAATTGTTACTAAAGAAAAATTTCCCCCATTGTTTTCCAAAAGGCAGAGATGTCGATCCTATCTTTTTTTTCTGTCGGTTACAGCGAATACGACAAAACAACACATTCTATGACTATTTGAAGTATGGGTTTGAATTCGGACAGTATTCTGAATTTGTATGTGAACAGCTAGAGGAAATAAAAGAAATTACACACACGAAGCTGGTGAACCGATTTGTGAAGACATCATTCTTTGTCAGTGTGAACCATAATATTCTAGTCAATATTTAGATTCACGCTACCTCTGTTTAGCTATTTTTAAATGCGTGCTTGGTGGGAACTCATATCGATGCCTAGAGAAGTAAATGCTTCTTAGGAGGAAAAGAAAATATTATGAAAATTTTAGTTCAGATTAACCAATCTTTACCCTAATAATAAAAACACAATAGAAATGGGACTAGCATATTTTCCTTTTTCAAATTAAGTGCAATTGTCGTTTGTTTTTTCAGGTTATTGCTCAGATTTAGTATTATATGCAAGGTAAATAATATCGCTTATAATCCAAACATAATTCACTCGTCGAAATGGGTTAACATAACTATTTTAGAAAATGAAATAAAAGGGGCACCTAGTGCAAAAATTTGATCTTTTGAAATGAGCTATATTATGTTATAAAAGAATATTCAGTCTTCGTAGAATAATAATCCCAAGACTGTGAATAATTTTAATCATTTGTGTTACAAAAAACGTATCATTTAATAAACAACAGTTGTATGACTTAGATGGTGTACCAAATTCTGTTATCACACAATAGGCCACAAACAAATGTTATATTTTTCTTTCAAGAACTATTGTAATATGTCATGAGGTATAAAGATAAATTGCCAGATAACAAAACATACGCCCGCGACATGGGTCGCCCGATGAGTTCATAAATTTTGCACAATTTCACTTCTTTAGCGAAATAAAACACACAATCGTTTTACTGATAAGCGTCACTAGATTGTTCACAAGATTATAAACAGGGACAATAACTCTAGATGCTGTAAGTTGATCAGATGATAACTGCTGTCGCTGTTCGCAAGATTTACAAAGGGCAGCGACGTTAGAAATAATTGTCTGAGATCACTGAAATACAACAGGATTCTTACTCTCACTAATTGTAACAATAAAATACAACATTGAGATCAGCCTGACGATAAATGCAATTTCTAGGGCGCTTAGAAGAAAATGTTTATGAAGGACACAAGAATATTTACAAGCTGCTAAAAAGTTATCAAAGATAATTACTTAAGGAGTAATTGTAAAAATAGTTGAAAATCAATGGATCTTTTTTTCCTTTTTGTCTTGTTATTTCAAGAGGACTTGGTGATAACTTTAGCTCCCACTCCACACTAGTTTTTAAAGTAGTCAAGGATAAAAGGATTATCGGAAATCGTTGATGCTTGGTGGGTTTCTCCATCATGCTAATCTTACCAATACATGTCAAGTTACAAAGTAAATAATGTATGATAACTTTTACAAAATAAAGCGCCCAGAAACTAATTATCAGAAATCATTAAACTTTGACACATTCTTCGTCTCGCCCATGCCTACACAGCAAAGTAAGTATGGGCAATAACTCTTACGGTAATTAAAACCTTTAAAATTTTATAGCCTTTTCTGTCTCAGGGGTGCTGTAAAATTGATGGACAATGTATATCTATTGTTTTTATGGTCGACAATTTTTTCACGGGGGGGGGAGGGGGGCGAAACTTTTTGTAGGGGAGGGGGGCGCAGGTGTGGGGGGGGGGGGCGGAGTTCTGCACATATAGATATATCACATTTAAATGAGGGTGTATTGATTTTTTTTTAAAAAATAAGGTTTTTCATTTATGTAAAAAAAAAAAAAATTAGCTAGAGCATGTTTGTAGGTACATGTATGTATAGGGTTTCTATAACCAAGAAAATCTCAACTTGAATATTTTAAATGGAACGCCAATGTGTTGGAATGGAGCCCGGGTTAAAACATCTTGTCTGTATACACGACGCAATTATTTGGCGTTAAACCAGATTGGTGAAGTTTCGGATCTTCCAATAAAAGTTGGACGAGATGACTTGTGGAGTAAGTGAAATACTTGTACATTGATATAAGCGACGGTGATAACAAGGGGCATTGTGTATTTGAATACAGAAAGTGACGCCACTCCTAATTAAATTTGAAATTACATAATGTAAGGTCGGTACGGAATACTTAATTACTTGTACAGTACAATTTAATTTTATATTCGACACTATAGTTCCACAATAATCCTTTCGGGTTCCCTACAGCCAGCCGGCTCATACTTATGAACAAAATCTGAATGTGTTTGGGTTGACGCATTCCAAAACTGAAACCTCACTCATAAATTGTTCGCCTTGAACCAGATTAGGTGTTACTAACTTACAGATGCAATTTGGCTCAAATCTCAACGGTTCTAACGAAACAAATCGAGAATTCAAATCGAAGTGACGACATAATTAATTAGTCCCTGATGGTCAGATGTGGATATATATCAAAAAAGACGAGTAGGAGATTTTATTTATCACCCAATCCCTTCTTACACGCACAAATAGATAAATACAATTCTTTGCTGTAGATTTCACTTTTACTGAACATTATGTCTAGTGATACATCATTTTTTGACAATAATTCAACCATTGCAAAGTCCTTTGTATTGACCCAGTGTTTCCATCAAGGTCAATTGAATAACAATAGTTCATTTTTAATAAAAAAAAAGTTACTTTTAATAAGAAATGAACTGTTCTTTGAAAATAAAAAAGTAGTTCCTTTTCAACTGACCAATCAAATTCATGTAAAGCGATATCTCCTAAGGAGATATCGCAGTAGATTATGAAATATATCACACAAGCGATATCTACTGTAGAATGTATTATTGGGTGATAAAAACATATTAGGCTATACTTACAATCTCATCATAGATATCACATCTACGAATGCTCCTTTCTCTATAGTATAAATCTGATTATCCAATAGTTGCCTGTAATAAAAACCATATATAAATGTAAGTTGTTATGTGTAGGAGGATGACGAGAATGCTGAGTCCCAGGTTACGATCCGGGGCAAGAGTTTTTCCTCCGCGTTTATCTTTAAACAGCATATTCGAATGCCCTCCAAAGTTCAGACCGATCAGCAGGTTCCTCTACACGTACATGCATAAATGATCCCAAAGATAAAAAGAAAATCGCTTTCCATTCGACCACAGTCTACTACTAGGACATGTTTGGGGGGAAACGTTCGTCAGATTTCAGGCTATAATTTCTCACTTGCAGGTAAACCTGTACACTAGGGCGTTCACATTTTGGAGTGGCGTTCCATCTATTCTCCTACCACTGACGTTCTAACCTAGTACTGTGGAAATTGGTGGGTGCTGCGCACAATATAGAGTGTCCTAACGTTCTTCTATTTTCGAGGGATGTTGATTATTCTATTATCATTAAAATACTTACAAGATTCGCAGTTGCTTCATTCCTTGAAAATCTGCCCTTCTTATGATAGTGATATTATTTCCCTGAAGATCACTGAAAAATTAAAATACCCAAATGATTATCATACTCTTGAGGGTAACATATATTTTGAATTTGAGTTGTTCCTAATCACCAAATGGACAATGAGGGTGTATTACAAATATTTGTAAAAATAAACAGGGCTAGGTTACAGCGACGGGCTTATGCATATACAAAATGTAGTTAAAAAGAAGAATGCATTATAATCGGCATTTTTAAATGTTAAGATAACTAATTAGTGAATTACAAAATCAGAATTTTTACACGTTTATAAATGATGTAACCCTTCTTTAAATACTCAAATATAAGTATGTACACAAATCTCTAAATTCGATTTGGCCTTGTTCCTTCGTCCAATGTGTTATCACCGAATTGGGGATTTACATAGTCCGGAAATATCTGACCACTTTTTATGACAAGTGTCAGCCGAATTGGGGGAAATTTGGTCACTGAATTCAACGAGGTCACCCCGTTAAACCATGTCAGAAACGTTTGCCGCAGAGCACGTAAATGTTAACACAATTAGTCGAGGGTGATAATGTTAAAAAGCTAAATCATGTGAACGACCAATCAAATTGCAGCATCTATTTCAAGTTTAATCAAAATTAGTCAACTAAAAGTACAATCGGCTAATGAGACTGCAATAAGCAAATAAAATATACACAGTAGGACAGGTTCTGTTAATACGTATGTAAGTCCAAATTTAGTAGATGTAAGTCCATTAGAAGTAGTTATTGTATCACCAGAACCGAAAAAAGAAATTGTGGTACGCTAATTAAATATGACTGGATAGCCTTGAAATTGAATTAAGAAGAGTGACTTTGATACTGAATATATTCGAGTTTTGTCAATATCCATTTACTGAAAGAAAAGTTATTGTTGTTCAAATTTCACAAATAATAAACGTTAATATCCCAATCTTTGAGGTTTTGGATTGTATGTGCTGTGGTGAAGTGGAGCCGTGTGTTGCTGAGCTGTTATTTTACACAGTTCATTAACTTCCGGTGCCAAACAAAATAACACTAAATAGTAGCCATTCTAATCACGCATCTCATCCGCCAATTATTCATTTCACGATTGAAGATGCACTTATTACCGAGCAAATTTCAAATAAATATATTAATTATTGCTAATTTGATAACCTGAAATATTTCGTTATTGATTCCGAACAAATTTAGTTTCAAAAAGTGGGGTGATCTCGGAACGCTTGTGAAAACGGCATGGTTATATCTTCGTAACAAACGGTTTCCGTTATGAGAACGGTTCTGAGAACACATCTGATAAAGATAGGTCGTCAGGAAGAAAAACACCCGCAGCAGTTGGGTCGTCCAAGTAGTCCATAAAAGTTGTCGCATTGCAAACCTTAAGGTAAAGAAAAAGCAAATATGTATACATGTACTTCAGTAGAATGAAACTACAGGGCATATTATATATAAGCTGTGTAAAATTTTAGAATGTGAAATTTTGCTTATTACGTATTGTTTTGTTACTCTACTTTTGAGTGATCAGAGTCTTTCAGCTAAAGACGTTTCGATGGTCATCACAGAATTCACCAGATTGGTGGAAATGGAAGCAAATTCTCAAAAACTCCCAATCCCCACACCCTTTATCATTGCGGTGTCATTAGTTAAACGCGCTACGCTATTTCGTATCCCCGGAGCTCTTTGTGAACCACGTCTTATAAACTTTGTAAACTATTACTTATTTGTAATCAATGTGAAGTTCCATAGCATTGATTTCCATGTGCTCCTACGCGTACCTTCCAGTGATTTTAATTGTCAATATATGATTTTATCGATCCACCAACTACTAATAAAGAGGTAATATTCATAATAAAGTGATAAAACTTTTGGAGTCATGATGCAATTAACCGTTACCTAATTACATACTTATAAAACTATTTTAGATTTCAGAGAATAAACTACATCACGAAGACGAAAAATATAAGAACCAAATCAATATACATGTATCCATAAACACAACACTAACAATTGTTTTAGTATTAATGTGATTTAAATATGCTCCCTTGTCGCTAAAAGAGAAATGAAAGAAGATTAAAAGGTAGATATATACAAAACAGAGTCAGTTATTTATAGAAATGGTTATAATTTCAGCCACTTTTACTAATATAATGACATGCAGACAAAAACTAACCGCGTGGTGATTAAATGACAAAGATACAAGCACATTTTTAACTGTCAATTCTTAAAATGGGAAGTTTCGAAACTGGAGACTTCCATTCAAAACGAAACAGACACAGAGTCACCCAGGCAGTTCACACAGGTTGTCATTCCCAGACAGTGATTTTTTTTTTACATAATTCAGCAAGATGCAACTATCAGATATTGTTTAAGATTTGCTTTTTGGTCTTAAAGACACAATAGCTCAACAAAAAATGCATGTATGCCAGAAGATAACCTTAATATCTACACTAGATAGTGGGTTAACGTCCACTCGACACACACTAGGTCATTTCGGGACTAACAATTTTGCGCGTACTACCGAAGAGAATAAAAATAAAGGAGATCGCTTCATGACTTTGTAGCTAAACTTTTAAAGGGCGTTCAGAAGTCATCACGAGCAATGACGTTTTTGAGAAAATGTTGAAATTTAATAGGCTTGCTTATTTCACTCATCTGAATATCACAGCTAAGTTTTAAATATACACTATAACCAAATTACCCTTATAATAAATCTACAAGCTTTGGCAAAATGGCCAAGGACAATATTATTTTCGTCGTCATGGTATAAGATTTAGAAAAGATCTGATAATAACTCAAGCCTATACATAGTGGCAAATGACAATATTAACGAACGTAAAAATGGGAAATCTGCGAATTTACTATATTGCAACATGTACCCTTAGTCCGCACGATTCTGCAAGAAATAATCAAGAGCAATCTGGATGTAATAATAAAGTTAGAAAAATTTGATAGGGGTCTTCTCAATAATGTTAAAATTTTAAAGCTGGATGTAATAATAAAGTTAGAAAAATTTGATTGGGGTCTTCTTCTCAATAATGTTAAAATTTTAAAGCTCGACTATAAGGCGTCGAACATATATTTTGGAAGATCCGACGAATCAACGGACTGGGTGGTGAAAATATACGACCACATTTTAATGTAAGTTTATACAGCAACAAAAGAACAATGGGTTGATTTGTTCTCTTCATACATTGTCAAGTATATATTTTTAAAATACACTTACGTTGTATTGGTTTGAGTATAAAAGTCATTTTGACACATAGTTATATTTATCTGAGTCTACACCTTGTTTAATTCAATACTGTATAATTTATATTTGCAAAAATAATTAAAATTTATACACAAAAATTGTATAATTTTAAAATGTAATCTTCTTTTACGTAGTATCTCAGACGTTGGTGACAACGACAGCCAATGGCACCACACGGGTGTTTTCCTGTGAAATTAGAAAAATTGCCAAATTGGGTACGTGCATGATAAACAAATGCATTATGCCCTAGCCAACCCCTAATAAGGAAAGGAAACGAAACTGATCCACACTAAATAATGTGCATGTTTGCTGGTTTACGTTTATTGGTGCCATATTCATATATCGCGTTTAACTAAACCGCTCGTTTGCAATGGGTACAAATTAATATCTTTATCTAACACCACTATGTCACGACACCATTCTTCGGCTAATCTACGAGACCCTTAACTCGAAATTTAAAAAAAAACCTGATAGAACACAACTAGCCTAACGTTTGATGTTATTCATTAAAGGTTAGAGTAGAGGTATTTAATGTATTGTCAGAATGTCTGTACAATCAAGGTGGCAAGGTGGAATATATGTATCAACACGACACATTAGAACAAATTACCGAAGAATTTTAAGGTAAAAATGTTTATGTGCATTTTACAGATTTAAGCTGACATTAAGGTGTTTGTTGTGCTGATCTTTTGATCACCTGACCAAATACTTAAAACGTGTCAGACATTTCAACATGATACTGTGTGATTTCAATTTAGCAACATTACGTTATGAATATATATACATAACTTAGTGTTGTCTTGTATACACGATAAAAACGTTTATATAGTGACAAGAATACACTTGTCATAAAAGAAGAAAACAACCGCTATAAATGACATCGGTAAATCTATAATATCATAGCGGTGGAAGCGGGCGTTAAATAAAGCTATTAACACACACACACACACAAGAGGGCGCAACATGTGCTGTAAATTATGTACCTGGTACAGAAAAATGGACTCATTTGCCCCATGCGTACGCTTTTACAATAATAGGATCAAGCAAGGATACAATGTAGTTTGGCATCTTTATTAAAATTAAATGTGTTAAATTGAAATACACGGTAATAATCACATATTACACTTATAACTACATGTATGCCTTCCATATCATTTCAAGTTAGATAGCAAAAGTTCATCTTCCACTCAGCACACCGAATTTTGATTTGATGTTCACAAAAATAAGCAAATATTACGGTAGGGCTTCGGTTATTTCCTTGGACATTTACTAAGTCTTCAGCTTAAATTGCTAGGCGAAGAATTTAATAAGGTTTCTTTCGGTGGTACATGTATGTGTATGGACAGCTCGATAACTGTGAAATACAGTGGAACAGTGAGTAATGCGCTAGCTCGATAATCAGGGGGCCCCAGTGTGGTTCCTTCTTGACAGTGGTGCAGAACGGAGGCCTGGAAAAGAACAGAGTCTAGTCGTTCATATGGGACGAAAAAACGAGGGACCATGTCCGCGTGCACGTCAAAGAACCCTTGACAGTTGGAATTCGATGAGTAAGATATTAAATCCCGTTTCATTTCGTTCCATTTTTTTTTAACTACAACTATAAATTTCTATTTCAAAATTTACATGACCATGTCGGCGTGCACGTAAAAGATCCTTTGACAGTTGGAATTCGACGAGTAAGACATTAAATCCCGTTTCATTTCGTTCCATTTTGTTTTAAAATACAGTTATAAATTTCTATTTCAAAATTTACATGAACTACATAGAAAAGGTGCAATGTATATAATGGCTTGGAATTTATCATAAAAGGACATTTACTTAAATTTAAAGGAGGCAAGTCTCTAAATCAATATCATCCACAGTCTTCGACAGTGCAAACTCGACTTATTGGTCAATTTAAATCAACATTGATGTTGTTATCTTGCCGCGAAAAGATGGGCTTATGATATCCAATATTTAAGTCAAAATAAAATTGGCACACGAATCGCGCGCTAGAATGTTTTCGAGCGCCATTTGCAATGAAGCGACTCCATGAACGAGGATAAACTTATCGCACAGGAGAATACTACCGCTGTAGACTGGGATAACCAGACGTCAAAGACTGCCATTCAATTGAAATTACAGTAAAAACCGAAACGATTGGATGTAAATCAGTTTATATACATTCATTTTACATTATTATATGCGTTGCAACCCATTTGTGTCCATTTCTAGGTGCCAAAGGAAGGAGATTTAGTTTATCTGAACAAAATACCGATGTCTTCAACTAGCAGTAACCAAAACGAAAATAGGGGTAACCAATATTGCCAGATAAATCTGGCTAGACAGTGCTCAGCCCTCAGCCCGTTTTCGATGTAACCGACGAAAACGCACTCAGAAACATCGCGAAAACGCGTACATGGAAAACGAGCTTATGTAAATGCTGTGAAAGTCTAACAAAACGGACTGGCATGGGTATATTGCCAATTTCGGTAGTTATATGTCAATTTATAAAACAGATAAAATATGGCATGTGGCCTACCCCCCCCCCCCCCCGCCTATATACAGAGAAAACAATGGGACTTGAAAGTGTGTACATATTTGTTGTCTCATACAATTTGAAATGGCGAAATAATATACGTTCATTTAAAAAGTCTACTAATAAAAGTATACGTTTCAATAAGTTGTTTTAGTTGTTGATAAATTGATTTTCATGTTTCGTCAGCACTTTAGTAGTGCGTTTTCATTGCGTCTAAGTACATGTCTTTTCCCCATTAAGTATTGTTTCACCTTCCAGGGATGTTCGCAAAACATATTCATTCCTATAAATTGAAATAACATTAAGTAAATTAGTGATCTTTTGAATCGGTAAATTACTACATTTTTGTATTTGGCTAATTGCCCTTTAAACTTTACTCCTAAATTTTAGGTCTATATATGAGTATTTTTCATGCGAACATTTTCCATTTTCAATTAAAGGTAAAATACAAAAGAGTGGCTCCCACTTTTTCTATTAAAGATAAATATATGACTTAAGCTTTTGGTCCATAGAGTACCGAACTGCGCAATAACATTCTTGCAAAACAAAGGTTACATTATAGCTTTCCAAAACATATCTTATTTTTATGTCTAATCGAAAGCTGTTTGATACAGGCATCATTACCTGGTTATTTCGACTTTTAAAGCTCATCAGATAACGTATGAATTTGACTAGGCATGGTTTTCCGAAGATGGTAAAAAAATGTAATGATATGTTAACATGGCAAGACTTAAAGAAGTTAGACCTCTTTGATTTATAGTTTGAAAAATTCAAAGTTTATCCCAGCGTCTCTTTCAAGACAAATTTATATGGTTTCAATTGTATGTTTTTTTTTATTTGTTAGAAAATTTCTGATGAAACTAGTTTGCATTGGTATCCTCAATTAACAAAAATAAACATGATTTGAATATATAAGGCAAATAATCAGATTCACCAATTTCTGTTTTTTAAAAACCGCTGGTTTACTTTTCCCGACGATCACCTGGACTCTGTATAACATTAAATGTTTACCCCACTGTCGCCACACTATTGCGCGGGCCCCATAACCCATTAATTAATTGGTCATTGTTTAATTACGCATAGAGTCAGCGAATCTACAAATTTAATGTGGTGTACAATTTCACATTACAAATCAATATGGGGAGATTTATCCTAATCTTATCTACTTACTATAAAATGGATTTTAACATGTAACTGATAACGCTTTATTAATAGATTATAGTACACTTAAATGATAAGAAATGACAATAAAATTTAACATCTAGTAAAGATCTATACTTTTCAGTTTTTGAATGATTATACGCGGGACACAGTAATATAATCAATGGAAAGAATGAACCGCACAAGGGAAGACTTACGTTCAGAAGTTTCAATATGTAATTTGCATAAACTTAAAATCAAATATAGCGTAAAACTCATGGAACTTTAAATCACATAAGAATACGGATGCGTAAAACCCACTGACTAGGCAACACCCTCTAGCCTAGCATTGCATTACAAGATAACCATCTTAGTCTCAAAATAAACAACGTATTGTGTTGATGTGATATGTTCTATTCCTTCCAGACTCTAATCTTCTGTTCCGTGCCTAAAGTAAATGATATTATCGGCATACCCAAACCAACTCTGTGGCTAACCAATCTTAACTTCATCTAAAAATTATATATAAGGAGTGTTGTCAGCTAACTCTAATGGTCGCATCTGCACACCAAGCCACGTGTACTTGCCACCTTCCGTTTCCAATATATTGCAATAACTATTAAAGAGCATAATGATTTTCGATTTGCCGTGATATTATGATGGTAAGTTAGACCTACACCATGACTGTTCAAATTAGATTATTTCAAGATTTGTGGCAAGTCTAGCAAGCTATCGCTAAAATATTATATGAGGACCAACATATCGATTGTCTTTATTAACATCTGGATTAAAAGACATGATAGCTATATAAGAAATAAAATTATATCGTGTTATACCGTTATGTGACTACTTACATTTTTTCCGCATCTCTTGCCATATCTTTAGGTACATGGAATAGATTCCTGAAACTACAGTCGATGGTTTTATGATGACACTGACATGATCGGGGACAAGAATTAGCTGAAGTTATCCCCGCACATATAAACAATAATATTATTAATCCAAGACAATGAGCCATGCTGATTATTCGTTCCTTCATTTTATCGTCAGTTAGATTCTTTTAAATTATATCCGTTTTGTTTGTACAATATTGAGAATTATTTCACCAACAGATCACAATTAACCTATCTTCATCTCAATTAACTGAAACTACATGAGAGGAAAAAACTGGCTTAAATACCATCTGAGCCCCTTTTACAACAGTTATCTCCTTAAACAGACAACATTGCTTTGGTATACGAAACCACAATCATGGGGTTTTAAACTCTACATACGATAGTACTACTAGTAATAGGGGAATCTAGAAGTGCATAATTATACAAAATATAAATTCAACTTGTATCACTAATTATTGTAATCCGTATTTTCTCTGCATCTTAAAGTTATAAAATGACAACATGGCACACCACCATCCACACGGGTAAAGAATAACTGTCTGTACTTGTAAACAGTCCTTAGACACAATGATCGTCTGCTTCAATGTACGGTCATCGGGCAAGTCATTTTGTAGCGTAGGGGAGATAGGTTGCTCGACTCTGGAAACCCCCTGCATGCTGATAATGTGGACGGCCGTAGCTCCGCCTATCATATTATAAGATTGGCGTTTGTGTCAATCAAAGCTGATACTCACGTGCCACTCATTGCAATAAAACATCGGTCTATAAATGCCGTTACTTTAAAGTGGTGCCCTCTAGTAAAGAGATAATGGCATAGCCTGGATAGGCAAACCAAATCTACTGTGTTGGGAATCTTGTAGAACTTTACTTACTGTTCAATTTCTAAATTATTACCACAATGAATAATTCGTTAAATTTATCTACCTTACAGTACTACAAGTTGTTTACAAATATAGCTATAACGTATTACTCCGAGGACTTACTAGTAATCATATTCTTAATGGTGACAATGGTGATAAAAAGTATTATTAGCTCATTATTGTGCTCGATGCAACTGCTTTTTACAAAAAAATCAGGGGGTGGGGGTCATTTGTTAGGACGTCGATCTGATGAAATATCCGACACAATAAGCACAATGTGTCTTGATGTAGCAATAGATGCCCCTATACCGACGAAGACTAATTTTACAATGATCTTGAAAGTGCCGATACTGCGGATACATTTCTTTGAATAGTTTAGGCAAATACATATAGTTGGAATATATTCTGTTATTTTTTTTTTCTTTTCAGAAAAGGATTTAGGAACAGGATATGTCTGTATTATTACCTCTCTCCTGGGGTTTAACGTCCTATTGCAACGACTGGGCTAATGAAAACGGACATACGCCATGCAGTGTGGTATGAGGTAAAGTTTGCCAATTTCAACTGTCAAATATTTTTACCCGCACATCAATCTGTACACAGGGTCTCTGTTTGTTTTTTTTATCCCATCACCGGAATCGAACACGGGACCTCCAGTTCAGTGAGTCAACATCTTACGCTCTGAGCCAGCGCGACTCCCGATTCCAGAAAAGAATTTTACATGGACTTTTTTGTCAATCAAGGGACATAATTCAGCAAAGATTTAACTGAATTCCAAAAGACGTGAACTTGGTCTACATATAAGTGTACCATCTCTGAATCAAATACCAAAAATGATTCCGGAAAACATAATTTTTTATTGATTTTATATCAACAAATTTATCGGAATGACACGAGACGTGTACCAAATCTCAGTCAAATATCTCAAAGTTAAAAAACAAACATTGGCGGACGGAGAGAAAACTTATAGACCCCCCCCCCCTCCCGTCTGATGTCACCGTGTTTTATTTTGATTCATTCAAAAGCGCCGGAGTATAGATCTTATGAGCTCATATACCTCATTTCCAAAGGGCTAAGGATTAAAACATTAAAACTGACATAAATTAAATGTCGATAAACGGAGCGGGTTATAGGTTTTGCAAAGCTCACAGTTTGGGGTGAAATCAATTCTGCGTTATTCCCGTATTGTTACGAGATCGCGTTAGCACACTAATTGCGTCAATTGGGATCCTATCTTTCTGAAATTTATATTGGTTGTATCAAACTGAAACGATATTCGATAACTTCCAAGGTTATTCCCCTTTGCTTAGAAATTTTGTCAGGACAATCGGCTTTAATTATGATCCTGATTTTCCGTAACTTACTTTGGTTGCAAGTCTGTAATATTGGACCGTAAACCCATATTGATTTTCAAAGATACTAAATCTTATTAGCACTTTATAGGCTGCTATAATTAACAAATCTTTCTAAATTTCATATTGGTTGTCTATCTGTTCTGGTCGTTCGGGTGGGATAAAAAGATCCCTTGGCAGTTGGAATTCGATAGCATATTGTATGGGGTATGCCTGGCTTCATTAGCCCAGTCGGTGCAGAATAGGACGTTAACCCCCATTTCATTTCATTGGCTTAGGGGCGGTCTAAACCCCACCATGCTCAGCTACATAAAAAAAATTTGTAAAACAACACTTTTATGAGAAAAGTGTCACGGTCGTGTGCTTTATCCTTTATCATCAGATGGTGGGATGGGATGGGCATTCAAATCGCGAGATAATGATATAGACATAAAAATATGTGATATCACAATTAATGCTTTGCATCAATGAAGTGCCGGATTTCTCTCTTTTAAAAGCTCAGTGTGTATGTATGCCTACGCAATTTAAAGACGATAATGGCATCATCAGGGCCGGCGGAAGCAATTCTTGATTGGGGGGCTTCCATCCTAGGTCCTTATAGGCGTGGGTCCAGGGGCCGCAATAACCTGGAGAAAAGAGTACTTGCGGCCAAATTATTGGGGGGGGGGGGGCTGATCATGCATTGCCAACTGTCAAATTTCCTTAACAGGAAACTGGCAAACCCCCTGCTGTAAAAATTCCTGGATCCGCCCCCGTGTCTATCTGCTCTATTGAAAGGAAGTATCCTATTCCATGATTTGTCATGTGAATCCTCTTTGAAATCAGTGTGTGATAGGCGTATTTTAGGTACATGTACCTCAGGTTTGGTATAGTGCTTTGAAAAAAACATTGGTGGACATATTCGGATATCCCCCCAATATATTTTTCAGGGTTATTGCGCATCTTTCGTAGTAATTAAAGATAGACTGCCAGGCAACGAAATATACGCCAACAGCAGCTAAGTCGTCCGTCCAATCAACAAGAATTGTCGCATCTTTGGTATTGTTTTGTTAATAAATGTCTAATTAATAATTTATATAACATTTCGGGCCTTAAACACTGTGTATAAATCGGATATAAACTCCAAAGGCTTCACACCAAATTTAAAAGTCAATAGGGCTAATCCGTTTTAAACACTGTAGTCTCTTTTGTGCGTTAAAATGGTTTTCAGAGTCACTCTGTATAGTACATTTACTGATAGAGAATCGGTTTCAGAGGAGTTATTTTCTCGGTAACTGATAATCTCGCTTACACATGAACTTTAGATATTATGCTTAGTCACAGCTTTAAATGTTATTTTTGAAAGATTTTTCACGTTACATGCTTATGAAGATTTAACTCCCCTTACAGGCCCGTTTATACTGAGCCCGAACGCAACTATTTGGACTTCCCGAGCAAATCATCGTTGATACCAAAAGCGGCTATGCCTATTCACGCGGAAATTCGCAGATGAAACTGGCCCATTTACGATTTGAGTAGGCTATGTCCGGCTACAGCGATATGTTATTTTACCATAAAGAATAGAATGCTTCTCGATTTGCAGAGTGAGATCTTCTTTACTGTCTCCTGGCATATGACGAAGCCGTCTCAATGGGTGTCTCTATAGACAAATCATGTTCATGCCTCTGATATTGGTTAACTATTCCAAAAAATCGTTTTGGAGGCAATCTCCATTGATTTCCGCGTGAAAAGAAAGCGACCTCATTCGAATAGCAGTTAATCAATCAATGCGATTGTCGCGGTGTCAGTATAAACGGAGATTACGAATGACAGAAAACCAAAAATGTCAGTAACAGTTATTACTTTGAATGCCAGAATGGATTGCAAAGATTTCATAACATAAGGGGGCATAACTCCAGAGTTGAGGTTTAACATGGAAGTAGACCACAATTAATTTCTCACAGTGGTGTCATTGCCCGGGTCCAACCTTTTCCCAAACTGGTCATGTAATTGCTCCAACGTTTGTATTAGGTTGACCTCTTTTAAAAGAGAAACTTGTTTGAGAGAGAGAGAGAGAGAGAGAGAGAGGGGGGGGAATGGTACAATTATATTTTTTAGTAATTTGCTTGTGCTCAGTATTAATAGAGGGAAATCGATTTGTGGGAAAAAAGATGATGGAATTTAAATCGTTTCTGTACCAACCAGCGTCCCATGAGGGATAAAATGAAATGGTTTTTAAGGTCCTACTTTTCTGAACTAATAAAAATTCCCCAAATGCCTTTATCATGGTAGTTCCATCTCCAAATACACCTTTGCCACACCAAAAAATGTCAGAGGTTTAAAGTACAACCAAGATGTAGAGTAGACCATGTTTTTCCGTCTTATTTGGACAATGAAATCATCGGTTCCAGCTATAAGCTTACATGGGGATGACCTATCCCTTTTTCTGTTCCTTCTCCTATTTCTTCCTGGTGTTAACCTTTATTATACAATAATAGTGCCGGTAATCAGAAAATAACTTTAGCTGTTATCGGTAATATCGTTAAACAATCACAAGCACTAAAGGGACCACAAGATTTTAACAAGCAGTTGCCATATAACATACACCCACATTTTGCAAGAGATGGATAGAGAACAAGCTAAAAAAAAAAAAGCGATTTTTCGTACAATCAGGGGACATAATTCTGGAAGTTATGGTCCGATATGCACAAATACCAAAAGGAATCAAATCTCTAGGATATAACATATATTTTAAGTTTCATTGAAATCAGATAAAAATTCTGACCTCTAGAGGGTCCATACTACTCCATACCCTTGGTATTACATACTTTCACATTATTTGTGTACAAGGAGCGGCCATTTTGTCGGGCGGCCACTGGTCTGATTTTTATGAAATTCTAACTCAACTGTCATTAGGTTGTAACAGTGATATATTTAAACGCTTTTTAAAATCGGATAAGAATTGTGACCTCTAGAGGGTGCACAATCTAAAAATTATTTTTTGTACAATCAGGGGTCATAATCCAGGAAGTTACGATCCGATATGCGTGAATATGGAAAGGAACCAAGATCTTGTGGTATAAACATATATTTCAAGTTTCATTGTGAAATCTAGCGGGTCCACAACCTTGGTATTACAAACTTTTACACTATCTGCATACAAGGAGCGTCCATTTTGTCAGGCAGTTTCGGTCCGATTTTTACGAAATTCGAACTCAATCATCATCAAGGTGTAACAGTGATATATTTAAACAATTTTGAAAATCGGATAAAAATTGTGACCTACAATCAGGGACCATGATCCAGGAACTTATGGACCGATATGCACGAATATCAAAAGAAACCGAAATCTTTAGGACATAAACACATGTTTTAAGTTTCATCAAAATCGGATCAAAATTGTGACCTCTAGAGGGTCCACAACCTTGAGATTACATTCTTTAACACTATCTGCGAACATAGAGCGGCCATTTTTTCCGGCAGTTTGTGTCAGATTTTCACAAAATTTAACCTTAACATCAAACGGTAATATATTTGAACGTTTTTTTAAATCAGATAAAAATTGTGACTTCTAGGGGGACCTCAAGCTAAAAACGTGATATTTTGTACAATCAAGGGCCATAATCCAGGAAGTTGCTGTCCGATATGCAGAAATAATGAAAGGAACCGATATCTTTGGGTTATAAACATACATTCCAAGTTTCATCTAAATCGGATATATATTGTGACCTCTTGAGCAGGTATGCTATTTCGCCTGTATATTCCGGACATGTCCTGCGGGATCTTCCAAACGTCCGGCCAGGAATATGCCCGATTGGACATCAAGATATGGTAAATAATATTCAAAATTCCAAAATATATTGGGTATAACAACTACTCATCTCGAATCAAAGTATTTATCATTCTATATGCCCGATCGGACATCAAGATATGGTGAAAAATATTCAAAATTCCAAATCAAAGTATTAACCATTTTATACAGTCCACCTTGATCAACTACTTAATCTGCCTTGATTGACGGACTTAATCTAAATGATGTATATGAATTTCATACAGATTGGATGATAACTTTTGGCATTAGAGCATTCACAAGGTTTAACAAAGTGCAACAAGGGCGATAACTCTAGGCATAATAAGCATAAATTGCTGAAATTCAATGGGATTCTTCTTTTTACTAATTTAAATGACACATATCAATTTCATACAGATCGGCAGATAACTTTTGATGTTAGAGTGTTCACAAAGTGCAATAAAGTGAAACAAGGGCCATAACTCTAGAAGTAATTAAAACAGATTATTGAAATTAAATAGGCTTCTTCATCTCACTAATGTAAATAACATATATCAATTTTAAAACAATCGGATGATAACTTTTGGCGTTAGAGTGTTAACAAGAAATTGTGGAAGACGGGGGCAACGGCAATATACATCCATATTTCCATGTGGGCACATAAAAAGCACTGAAAAGATTATGGTGCTGCATATATATTTAATTCACAAAAGAAATGATACTAGATATAATTAACCTCTTCGATACTATAATAATACTTATAGTAATAAATTATAATTTTTGTATGTATATGTATACAATGTAAATGTATATACATGTTGATGTTTTTGCCATTTATTGTGGGGTACCTATTTCTGGGGCCTAATTTAGCTGTACCATCATGTCCAGTAAATCCTTCAATGGAACGAAATTATGAGGCTTTCTCTTCCTTTAATGCCCAATTGTGCTTAATGGTTAAAGATACATTATGGGAGATAAGATAAAGAGCTGGCAGTTCTCACTATAATAGTTAAAACTAGATAATGTAAAGGGAATTTGCTGAAAATTTCAGTCAAATTGATCCACTTTGAATCAAGAATTTGGCAATTGAATTTTAGGCCTAGCCTCGATCATCATTACTAAAGTCGGTACGATAAAAAACATCGTCTCGATTATCCATTTTCCGATTTAATCATCAATGAGTGTTGAGCAGCAGACTGGATCCTAATCCAGTAAATATTGCAGGTTAGCAATGACATCGAGAATTGATTATGGTCTGGATAAGTTAATTAACTTGAAAACGTGACCTGTATGTGTTACTAAACGTCGTTATTAAATAATAGAGAAATAGTTCTATCCAATTAATAATTTAGATAACATTTCAGGCCAAAAGAAAGACCTGCAATTGGCAGATTTAGCTCTTGCATAATGTATGTTTAATCCATGGCTGGCTAGACATACTATCAAATTAGGATTAATCAAATCCCAAAGTATTTGGACTTTGTTTAAATTTAGGCTTCAACCAATAAGCACACATAAGTGACAGCACAGAGCCACAGACCATTTGGATTATGATTTGTCATCATCTAGATTTTGTAAAACAAAGTTAAGATGTTCACTTATTATACTATTCAGATCTCGTGATATAGTCATTAAAACACAGAAATTCTCTTTATCTGCCACTACACCACGGGGTGTTGCCATAACATCTGCCAAAGTCTTTTGCACTTGTGACATTTTTTGAAACAAGGACACTTCTAAAGGCATTGGAACAGTTTTACATAGTTCAGTGAAGCTTGACAACCAGTTATAATATTCCTGACTGGTAAAATCTGGTGTCTTCACGTAATCTGGTACCAATTCTAACAATGATTTTGGCGACATAACATTTTTACTACATTCCTCTTTATTTTGATAATGTACCTCAAACACTTGTTCATCACCATTCACTGATAAATCTATAATTAAAAATATATAACAAATAATTCTATACAGAAATGAATAGGGATATCTGAAGTACTCTTTCCCAAAGAATGCAATAAATACCATTCAGACCTTAGTGTTTTCAAAATCTATTTTAATTCCTTTCATTTATTTCAATTAAATCAAAGAGTATTTAAAAACAATGATTTAAAAACATCGGTCCTACTAAATACCGACAATAACTGACTAGTGCCTTTTTGTGTCAATATTGCATAAGTATTGCCAAAAGTGACTGACAAACAAAGAGATGTTTTACATGCAGCAAAGTGCCTTTGTCTGATGGAAATGTATTATTTTACAGCGATGATATTATATTTACCTTGTATTATTTGATAAGTGCATTCTGAAGGATCCACTGTCTTACCATTTTCATCTGTAATTGCAATAACTGTTTTTTCACCTGTTTCTTGTTGTTGTGATGTAATCTGTGATATATCTGTGATTGGGATCTCTAACTGACTAATAGTATTATCTACAGATTGAGATAAATGAATTATATCATTATCTTCTACAGATCCCACATTAACTTCTTCTATATAAGTTGTTTCACCATCATTGTGCGGGTCTATCTCAATTTGTTGAACCACTATATTATTGTTCAAATTTTTGATCAAGCTTACTATTTTACGGTGACTCTCATTGGAGGAAATATCTATCATGCCCAAGTTTTCTTTTGCTTTTGAACTTGAAGGTATTTCTACATATTCTTTCTTAATTTTGCTCTCATCTTTGGTAAAATGTCGTCGGGCTAAATGGGATCGCAGTTGTCCAGTGCGTTTAAAACCATCACCACATAAGTTACAAGTATAGGGTTTAGTGGCTTTGTGTTCTTTGATATGTCTTCTACAACTTGATGGATCACTAAATTTATGAGAACAGAAAGTACAGTGATATGGCTTTTTACCTGCAATATAGAACAGACAATAGGTTGACAGGCAATAAAACATATACCTCTACAGTCTACAGCTGTTGAGATGTCCTAGCAGTCCAAATTGGATGCCTCACCCACACAGCTGCACGTGGCAATGTTAGGCTATTTTAAAGTCTGTACAAGTTTTACCATGAAATCTTTGAGATACATACATGTAAACTGAAAGTACATAGACTTTCTCAGGAAAATGCATCACAGTAAATAACATATGGATGTCAAATGAGTATCAGGTGTTTTGAAAAGAATGTTGTTGCAGTGACTAACTTGATTATGGCACATTTATAATAATTCTAAATGGGATCTACAACAAAAATACACATTTAATACTACATATGACATGATGGCAAATATTAAACCAAATTATTACTATGTGAATATCATATACCATATAGCCCTTCCATGATACTGTACTTACATACCTGAATGTATAATTTTATGTCTTATCAGATCAGATCCATGAGCAAAAGCTTTATTGCATTTATCACAGGAAAATGGCTTTTCTCCTGAAATAGCAAAAATAGAAATGGTTTTATTACAGAAATATATCACAATTAATTGTGCTGTTTTGCAACTGAACCTATACCTACCAGCAGAACTTTATCATCAGCTTTTTTTCCCCCATCATCCTTTATAAACAAGTGCCCAGCATATGCCAGATAACAAAAGTTGAATTCAAATGTTAAAAGAAATCATGTTTCATGCTTCACAGAGTCTCACAGAAAGACATGGCACTCAAGGAATGGACTGTAGAAAATCCTGTATTAGCTGAACCTGTCAATTTACCAACGGTTGCCAGACAAGATATGTCCACATTTTGCAAGAGATGGATAGAGAACAAGGTAAAAAAAAAATGTGATTTTTTTGTACAATCAGGGGCCATAATCCAAGAAGTTATGGTCTGAAATGCGTGAATATTGAAAGGGACTGAGGGTCCACAACCTACACATTACATACTTGTACACAATTTGCGTACAAGGTGTGGCCATTTTGTCAGGCATTTTCGTTTTGATTTTCCCAAAATTCGAACTCAACCTTCATTATGGTGGAACGGTTTTTAAAATCTGATAACAATTGTGCCCTCTAGAGGATCCATGAGCTAAAAATGTCACTTTTCGTACAATCAGGGCCCATTATCCAGGAAGTTATGGTTTGATATGCTCAAATATCCACAGGAACTGAGATCTTTGAAATATAAACATATATTTTAAGTTTCATCAAAATCTGACCAAAATTGTGACCTCTGGCGGGTCCACAACCTTGGTATTAAATACTTTTACACAATTTGTGTTCAAGGAGCGGTCATTTTAACCAACAGTTACAGTCCGAAATTCAAACTCAATTATCATCAGGGTGTAACGATGATATATATTTAAACATACATTATGCAAGATCTAAATCTGCCTATTGCAGGTCTTTCTTTAGGCCTGAAATATTTTCTAAATTATTAATTAGACAATAATTAACTTATCCAGGTCATAATCAACTCTCGATGGCATCAGATTACTCCGATATTAAATAGATTAGAACAGTTCAGCCATATTTTGATTTAAGCTAAAAATGGAAGAGCGAGACTTTAATTTCAAAGGCTAATATCTTCGCTAGCATAGAGTAATTTGAGTGAAATTTTCAAATTATTCATTTTAGATTATCTATTTTCGAACTATTATAGCAAGACTGGCTAGCTCTTTAATCGATTTTTAAAATCAGATAAAAATTGTGACCTCTATATGTAGAGGGTCAAGCTAAAATCGTAATTTTTCGTACAATACGTGAACATTGAAAGGCACAGAGATCTTTGGGATATAAACACAGGGGCCATAATCCAAGAAGTTATGGTCTGAAATGCGTGAATATTGAAAGGGACTGAGGGTCCACAACCTACACATTACATACTTGTACACAATTTGCGTACAAGGTGTGGCCATTTTGTCAGGCATTTTCGTTTTGATTTTCCCAAAATTTGAACTCAACCTTCATTATGGTGGAACGGTTTTTAAAATCTGATAACAATTGTGCCCTCTAGAGGATCCATGAGCTAAAAATGTCACTTTTCGTACAATCAGGGCCCATAATCCAGGAAGTTATGGTCTGATATGCTCAAATATCCACAGGAACTGAGATCTTTGAAATATAAACATATATTTTAAGTTTCATCAAAATCTGACCAAAATTGTGACCTCTGGCGGGTCCACAACCTTGGTATTAAATACTTTTACACAATTTGTGTTCAAGGAGTGGTCATTTTAACCAACAGTTACAGTCCGAAATTCAAACTCAATTATCATCAGGGTGTAACGATGATATATATTTAAACATACATTATGCAAGATCTAAATCTGCCTATTGCAGGTCTTTCTTTAGGCCTGAAATATTTTCTAAATTATTAATTAGACAATAATTAACTTATCCAGGTCATAATCAACTCTCGATGGCATCAGATTACTCCGATATTAAATAGATTAGAACAGTTCAGCCATATTTTGATTTAAGCTAAAAATGGAAGAGCGAGACTTTAATTTCAAAGGCTAATATCTTCGCTAGCATAGAGTAATTTGAGTGAAATTTTCAAATTATTCATTTTAGATTATCTATTTTCGAACTATTATAGCAAGACTGGCTAGCTCTTTAATCGATTTTTAAAATCAGATAAAAATTGTGACCTCTATATGTAGAGGGTCAAGCTAAAATCGTAATTTTTCGTACAATACGTGAACATTGAAAGGCACAGAGATCTTTGGGATATAAACACATGTTTTAAGTTTCATCAAGATTGGATAAAAATTGATACACATATTACATACTTTAACACTATTTGCATACAGGGAGAGGCCATTTTGTCTGGCAGTTTTGGTCCGATTTTCACAAAATTTGACCTCAACCATCATAATTGTGTAATGGTGATATATTTAAACGTTTGTTTTTAAATCGGATAAAAATTGTGACCGCTAGAGGGTAAATTGTCCTGTCCGAGGGTTAATCCAAGTTTTGAAGACTAAGAATGAAATCTGTAAAGATATAATCTTACCTGTATGTACTTTCTGATGAGATCTAAGATAAGCCATCTGTGAGAACTTCTTGTCACACTGATCACAGCAATATGGCTGATCTTTACCATGTGTAACTAGATGGCGTCTCATACAGCTAATCTGTCGAAATTTTTTGTCGCATTTATCACAACTGTATGGTTTAGTATTGGTATGTCGAGTCATATGTTCTGTTAAACTAACTTTACTAGAGAACTTATTACCACAAACTCCACATTCATATGGTTTTACACCTGCCAAAGCAATACAAATAGTTATAATTTTTTACTCATAATATTTCCTTGTATTTATCTTATATTTTATTATGATGGTTTCTCTGTACTGCCTTTTTTTTATTTCCGTCATAAGGTTAGATAAATCAAAATGCAAATTTTAAAATGAAATTAAATCAAAGAAACTAAGTTATAAAAAACACAGCATTAAAATTTCTCAAACATTATATATTAAAACACTTGAATTCAATTAAGTATCTCATTTGCACTCCAAAATGTCTTAATTGATGACAAAGATTCTGGAGTGTTAATACTCAATGGAGTTAGTAGCATTGACAAAAATTGTTGGATATGGACAGACTAATAGTTGGACATGGGTGATGTAAATATAGAGTTAATAAAAAAATAAAAAATTTAATATCAATTAAAAAGCTTTACCAATATGTGTTAATCTATGACGTCTTAGTGTTTCGTTGCTCCGAAATCTTTTTGGACAATCTTCGAACTGACATGGATAGGGGCGCTCATCTGTGTGTAATCGTTCGTGAACTTTCAGATTTCCTGTAAAAAAACCCAATAATTCTAAAACCAATATTGAATAATCCAATTTAACAGTAATTACACAATTAAATATCTACGAGAATATCGATCAGGTAAAACCATTTATGCACTTAAATTTAAAGTAGATCAGATGATGACTTTTGCTTGAGGTGATTACCTTTGCTTCACAAAAAAACTACCAAGTTAGCCATGGTAATAACTCTAAGAGGTAATAAACGAAAACTGTAAATTTTTGTTTCAGTCTATATTATTCATTGAGCACTAAAGCTTGTAGTCTATATGTAATAACAGTTACTGGTTTATAAACAAGCTGGCTCTAAATAAAGACTGTGTGTAGTCAGTGTACCTTCCCCATTCATGATCAAATCATTATAAGCCTAATTATTGATATGATCATAGTAGTTGTTTGCAGGTAGTTAATATATCGTTTATCCTTACAAGTACATGTACATAATATATTATTCAGACTAGACTTGTATTCTTTTACTAATCTGTACTACTCATCCTAATCATCTAATGGTTGTTATTGTATTCACTTAATTATGGTTTCATATTATACATGTAGTGTAACAGTTAAAGTTTATATTGTACATTCTTTTAAGTACAAAATATTTATTAATAGTTTTATATACATCACTCAGTACTATATTTTCTGATTTTGTATCTAGAACACAATATTTTTGGGCACATATAACAATGAATCTTTAAACTGAAAAACAAACAGTCCACCAGGATGAAGACAAAAGCAATATACAAACTCATAAACTATAAGCCTTCAAATGGTAAAATATTTTCAAATTTAGTGCATATTGAAACCATTATACTAAATTATTACGGTACACAGAATCTTATATGACACAAGCAGTCAACTTACTTACCTTTTTGATTGAATACCTTGTGACACAGTTCACATTCAAACGATTTTTTGTCTTTTTTCTTTTTGTGAACTTTACTACCTGTAATCAACAAAATTAAGAAGGAATACAATAGTTACAATTATAAAATACAAATAACGAGAAATGAGATATGGTTTAACCTCCTACATTTCTGCACCGACTGGGCTTATGAAGACGGGCCCATGATGAAAGCAGAGCCCTAAACAATTATTTAGTTGTTCCTACCATTTGTAATTTGTACTAGATTCAAACATTTTATGGCCTAACTTAAATAACGCTGAAACTATCTCTACATATGTCGGTGTGTTTCCACACCATCCACATTCATCTCCTGGGGATAAAAATAAAATTAATCTGGAAAAAACGAATTCAATACTTTTCAAGATACTTCCTTTGTTTTGTTTGAAAAAGTACTTTGTAGTTATATTATCTAGATGTGTGCTGCAAATCTACTCGTCTTTGACCTTCAGCGTTGAATATCTTGACTATTAAAATTGACAACCACCCAAAATTAAATTACAGATTCTTTTGGTTTATTTTTCGTGAGTTTACACTATACATTGTAATACAACAAACTTTTTATCATAGCTTTGCTGTGCCAGAAAGAGTAGCAGACATTTGCATTTGTATTCAACGTGTTTATAATCGCTATAGGCTTTCCCATAATTCAGCACACAGCCCTATAAACAGACAATTTGAATAGTTAACATGATCTGAATGTCCACTTCAAACATAAAAAAACAAAACAATGTACATTAGTAATATATAAACCTACCAACTGTGGACTTCTTTTCTGATTCCAGCCTCTTTTTAATATTTGTTTTCTTTTTCTTTTGACTATATTCCACGTCTGTTTCTGGTTCATAATCAGAATCACTTTTATCCAAATCCACATTTTCAGGATTTTTATAGTCTCTAAATATAATAGCCATTCAAGTAAAATATAACAATCCATATAAAAATCTTAATTTTAAATGCATTTCTTCCAAAAGGTTCAAGGCTACTTGAATTAATCATTTACACATATAAAGATGTTAACATGAGAAATGTGAAGTTAAAAACAAAATCTACTTAACTGTTGACCTATTGATTGAGCTTAATCGAATAACAAGAATACATCGAAAAACTGTAATTAAGATTTGACTGTGTATCCCTGTTATGTACGTGTAATAAGAACTATAATATGTTAACTACATATTTCTAGATAGCATTTAGATCAGTGATCTGAGAATCCTTTAGAATAGAAAACACTTTTGTAAATTCCACAATTACACTGTGAACCAAACCATGCAGTGACATGTCTATTGAAGCGCTGTCATGTGCCGAGTGGTATTGTGCCTGTATGAATGAGTGACATGATACATATGGCAGTTGTCATAACAATGTTATTATTATACAACAGAGAAATGTGTGATTTGGAAAAATCGCATGGGATCAAGCATCCTGATATTGTTTCCACCTGTTCATTTACCTGCACCATGCTAAAGTAATGATGGTTTTGTTACTCTTTTAAGATTCCAGTCATCCCCTGGCCTTGTTCTGACAACAATCAAGATTGCAAAAAAGAACATTACCTAAACTTGAAAGGGACAATTCTTTTCCTGCTTGGTATCTTTCCTGATCTTTCAATATCATAATCATTGGCCTGTATACCCACTTCAAATACAACGTGACAGGTAGGTTTAATGTCTTCTGCATCATCTGAACCTACATCTGTTCTTATTCTTGACTTTCCTTCTATCTATAATACAAATTAATTAAAACACATTTTGTAGGTATTGCAGTTGAAGTTAATGATTAATGCTTCCTTAATTTCGTAACAGTGAGCTCTAAATTTTTGTAGGTTCCTTTTCTAATTTGATAGTCTTACATGTCACACTAATTTTAAGATTGTAACTTTTACTGCTCACAAAATTCCAGAAAGTGAGCATGGACCATAACGCTAGAAGTAGTTGATGGAAATTGTAACAGGCTTCTTTGTTTCACTAATCTGAACAATGCACATTATCAGTATCACACAGATCAGAAAATAACTTCTGTCACTGGAGTAATTACATATACTAGAAGTTTCACTAATGTGTATAAACCAGTAATCGTTTTTCATATACATTGTGTTGTGTTTTGTAATATGCTCAATAACTAAATGTCACTCAAGGATTATAGTATTGTAATAGTTTTAAATAATGCAAAAATTATGCTGCCAAACCACATTTGCATGTAGAGGTTAAAGGCTGAAATTTCACTCATGGATAATGGATGTGACATCTGAGAATCACTTACCATAGTAAATGTTTGATAAATACTTGTAATATCCAATTTACGGACACCACAGAGAATAAAAGATAGGTTGCCAGGCAACTAAACATACGCCCACAGCAGCTAAATCGTCCGAGCGGTCGACAAGAGTTGTTGTATATTTGTTCTTTTGTAGGTAATTAGGGGGCATTTAATAGACAATTTCATACAGATGACATTATAATTTTCGTCGTTTGAGGGTTCACAAGGTTCTAAAAATTAAAACAAGGGCTGTATTCTACAGAAATTGTTGAAATTTGACAGACTTTTTCATTTGACTAATTCAAATAATACATATCAATTTCATACAGAACAGATGATAACTTTTGTCATTCGAACGTTCACAAGGTTCAACAAAGTAAAACAAAGGCCATAACTCTAGAAGTAATTGACAGAAATTGCTGACATTCAATAGGCTTCTTCATTTCACTAATTTAAATGATGCATATGAATTTCATACAGATTGGGTGATAACTTTTGTTGTTCAAGCGTTCACAAGATTCAACAATGTGAAACAAGGGCCATAACTCTAGATGTAATTAACGGAAATTTGCTTAAACTCAATAGGCTTGTTCGTTTTACTAATTTAAACGATACCTATAAATTTCATACAGATCGGATAATAACTTTTGTCGTTAAAGCATTCACAAGGTACAACAAAGTGAAAAAAGGGCCATTACTCACGGTGTAATTAACAGAAATTGTTGAAATTCAATAGGCATCTTCGTTGCACTAATTTGAATGATGCATATCAATTTCAAACAGATCGAATGATAACTGTTGTCATAAGAGCGTTCAAAAGATTCAACAAGGTGAAACAAGGGCTATAACTCTAGATGTAATTAACGGAAATTGCTGAAATTCAATAAGCTTCTTTGTTTTACTAATCTAAATGATGCATATAAATTTCATACAGATCGGATAATAAATTTTGTCATTAGAGCATAAACAAGGAACAACAAAGTGAAACAAGGTCCATAACTCACGGCGTAATAAAAGGAAATTACTGAAATTCAATAGGGTTCTTCGTTTCACTAATTTAAATGATGCATGTCAATTTCAAACAGATTGGATGATAACTGTTGTCATTAGAGCGTTCACAAGATTCAACAAAGTGAAACAAGGGCCATAACTCTAAATGTAATTAACGGAAATTGCTGAAATTCAATAGGATTCTCTTTTTTACTAATTTAAATGATGCATATAAATTTCATACAGATCGGGTGATAACTTTTGTTGTTAGAGTGTTCTCAAGAAGCAACAAAGTGAAACAAGGGCCATAACTCTAGATGTAATTAACGGAAATTGCTGAAATTCAATAAGCTTCTTTGTTTTACTAATCTAAATGATGCATATAAATTTCATACAGATCGGATAATAACTTTCGTCGTTAGAGCATTCACAAGGTACAACAAATTGAAACAAGGGCCATAACTCACGACGTAATTAACGGAAATTGCTCAAATTCAATAAGCTTCTTCGTTTCATTAATTTAAATGATGCATATCAATTTCAAACAGATCGGATGATAACAGTTGTCATTAGAGCGTTCACAAGATTCAACAAAGGGAAACAAGGGCCATAACTCTAGATGTAATTAACGGAAATTGCTGAAATTCAATAGGCTTCATTGTTTTACTAATTTAAATGATGCATATAAATTTCATACAGATCGGTTGATAACTTTTGTCGTTAGAGCGTTCACAAGGTGCAACAAAGTGAAACAAGAGCCATAACTCCAGACGAAATTAACGGAAGTTATTGAAATTAAATAGGCTTCTTCATCTCACTAATGCAAACAACATATATCAATTTCAAAACAATCAGATAATAAATGTAGTCTGTAGAGTGTTCACAAGAAATTGTGGACAACGGACGGACAGGGGCGACGGCAATATACGACCACATTTCCATGTGGGCGTATAAAAACTGAGTTAACATTCAATTTATAATTATAATAAGCCATAATTGCCGAACCCCATGTTTACAAAGAAGGTAATAAAAGAGTGTATTAAATGTGAAGGTTTTAAATTGAGTGTATTTGACAATTGTTTGCCAGAAAGAAAGACAGTTCAATCAAATATACCTGTTTTCCATTCCACTCCAATATAGTATGAACAAAATCTCTTTCATCTTCAGTCATGGATTTTTCCACCTTCAAAATTAAATATGGTCAAAATTTAAGAAAATTTTATGCAGGAAAACAACAAAAGAATTACCCTACATTCAGAATGCTAATAAATTTATTTATAAGCAAGTTCCTCCATGATTTCCTTAACAGTTAGTTGCAAGGCAAAAAAACAAGGCATCTTTTGCTGTCTGGCCTGTAAGTAATAACATTTCATATTTCAGTAGGTTAATTTGAGATGCACATATGCATACATATGAAGCAATTAAATTATTCCCTCATTTGCCTTGCTAATAATTCATGGACAATTATCTGATTTATCTATTTAAATTCTGCTATATATTACGCATATATATCATACATAGTTTGCAATCACCATGATTCAATTGGCCAATTTAGACTGAAACTTTTAAACCATAGACTACTGACATTGTATTAGAAAAAAATCTTTAAACCTTACCATATTTTCGGTTTCACATTGTTTTGAGCTTGATGATTCTGGTAATCTGAAATCCGAATCCTCATTCACCGTGCCAGTTTTCTCATTAAGCTCTGTAAAGGTTAAGACAAATGATTTATGGTAGTTAAATTTACAGCGGGGTACATACCAGTACTCGGTACTGTAGTGTATAGCTGCAGAAAGCAGTGCAAAGTACTCTTTAACTGGGGTTTCACACTGCACAGATTCTGTTTTTGTTTGAATTAATATTACAATTATTTGGGTTTGCTTGTGTGGAATACATGTAGGCCTACTATCGTTTTATTTAGACAGATCAATATTAGAGTGTTTTTGTTCTTACCATGCATTTTAATCTTGTTTTTTTCGCGACATAGCTGCTGTGTGGGTGTATTTCCATATTTTGCATGGATATCTTTCTGTTATTAAGTCTACAGAGAGTAACGTGTCTGGCCATCTTCATGTTGCTTTTCTAAAGCTTACTTTGTTAAAGTGTAGCATAAATATTCACTGAAAATCTTCTAGGCCCAGTATGGTACCATTATTAAGTTATGGATTGTTGACTTTTTTTCAATTTTTCTTTTTTTTTTTTAAAGAAGCTTAATCGCTAATTAATATTTGGGATCTAGAAATTCACACAAATGGGTCGCAACACATATAATAATGTAATATGAATGTATATAAACTGATTTCAAATTTCAAATCAGTTACCTTTGGCGAAATATGCCAGAAGTCTCAATAGAGGTCTCAATTGAATGGCAATCGCTAACGTCTAGTTATTCCAGTCTAAACCGACAGTATTTATTGCACATGCTCTCCAGATAAGAATATGAGGTCACCGTTTGACATGATTTGTGGAATATGCCTAGCCTCGTTCTTCGAGTCCCTTGTTACAAATGGCACAGAAACGCATTATGGTACAATGGTAAAATATCTATTTTGTCTTAAATATTGGATATCAGAAGCCCACCTTTTCCCGGAAAGATCACAACATCAATGTTGATTTAAATTGACAAATAATTTGTGTTTTCAATGTCGAAAACTTTGGATATTGATATTGAGTTAGAGACCCAGCTACTGACTCAATGGCAGATCTTATGATCTAAAGCGAATACGTTAGACCACTCAACCCTGGCTTCTAGCCGTAAATTTGGGTAGAATTAGAAACTTGGGTCTCTTCACTAATCTTGAGTCTTGCTCTTTACAAATCTGCTGGACAAAGGGGATAAGTCGATTACACTGCATCATGACAACAATTTTGTGATAATATAGCGCGAAGCCCAGTGCTTGAGCAAAGCACTTTTCAAGTAACACAGGAACATAACTAAAACTGTCACCAATGTACAGGCTATTGATTAAAAAAAATTCAGACCGGAACCGGATACACTGGGCAAAACTGGCAATGCGCATGCCAACTTACCAAATCTCGCCCAAGACGGGCCAAGGTACGCGTCTCATGATGTGTCTAATCAATGACGTCACATATTTTTGACGTACAAATGAAAATAATTCTAACACTTTTTTTTTAAAACAAAATAAATCATACAATAGTCAATATAGATCTAAATTAAAATCTATTGGGAAAAACGAAATTACTTAACATTACCGGTAATGATTATTTGTACAACTTAATTATCAAGGTTTTATATTTAACAACAATCACATGATAATATGAGCTTTGTTCTACTCAGGCAATGCCTGTTACATATCATTAATTTAAATTAACTTTCTTGTGTCAAATTCTTCCTAATATTGTAGTGATGTCAAAAGAGTAAGATTTTACATGACTACTAATGGCACTATCTGCCACCATACAACTACTAGATCTACAAGCATGTTGTTGTTAGTTAGTTGTATTTTACGTCCGCTTCCACCGAGGTGACATCGCAGACAACAACATGTTATGTATACAAGGTGCAATAATTTACAATGTGATTAGTGAAAAAGAGGATAATTAGGTTTTTGTATATATGTACAGAAGACAATAGATAACAGCAAGATCTACAAGCAGTATGCTAGTCCTATACTATTTGATTTCTCTGGTTGGGCCTCTCCCTTCAATGAAAACAGAAATGCTTGAGGAGTGGAAATTAGATATTAGAAAAACAATGTGACTGCAATTTATAATAATCGCGTTAATATAGATAGTTATTGCATTATTCCGAGCAGCAAAAATATATCTCAATCTATCCAATAGCCTATGTACAAAAAGAATCTGTTAAAATTTACCATTTATTTCACAAGCGGCATCCATTTTGTCTTGCGTGGCTATCTTCGGTCGGTACTCGATTTCACATCAGCTTATAATGCATTGCGCGTGATGTAGTTCCGGTTTGGATAAAACCAAAACAAACCTTTTATTTAAATATTTCCTATATTACGGATTTTATTTCCGTTTAGATTTCTATGGCACGGGACACCTTTTTAGGCAGACCTCCTTTATGTTGTTAAAAAGTAAAAACGGCACACGTACATGTAGTCTCGGTCAAACGCACCACCGTGCCGAAAATGACGTCATAATTATAAGGGAATTCCGGAAAAACCTCTATTATTAACCCTCACGTGACTTAATGGCGGATGACAGTAACTACAGCAGATATTCTGCACCAAGTATCTCCGATATTCATTACAGACCGTTTGTTGGGACAGAGTATAAAATCTACAAAAGAAGATGGTTTATTGTGTTTGTTGTCTGTATTGTCAATATGGCAAATGCGTTGGTAATTATTTAAAAAACGGATTTAATACGTAGGCCTACCGTAACACTGTGAAATGGTGACAGCCCAGGTCACGCGACATGTTGTTATCTGATCTACTTTGGGTTGTTTTAAGTTTGTTTTTTTTTTTTTTTTTTTAGTTCAGTAATAGTTATGTTGCACTAGCAATGATAACCTATCTAAAAACATTAACTGGTGTGTTTGTTTTTAGCTACGGTTGCATGACTTAGTTTTTCCTAGCTGGCCTCCTTTTTTCTTTAACATCTTCTTATCTTATATAAGTTAATTTTATAATTATTAGGTCTAATTAAACATACCCAGCTCAATGTAGTGACATAACTATGGTTGTTTATCTGCAAAGTTAATCAAAGGTTTTTTTTAAAGAGAATTGGAACGGGCATTTGATCATGGTGTATACAGTATTAGTCATACGCGACCCATAACGGTTCTCTACTTGCGATTTTGAATTGTCTACGTCTCGTTTTTTGATTGGTTGTTGTATGTGACTGAATTCTGTTTCAAAATGAGGGGGGGGGGGTGTTGGATGGCCGAATGGTTAGCTCGTGTGTGTTGTATCATAAGGTCTGTCATTGAGTTAACTGGCATGGTTTTGATTCAATGGTTGTACGTGACAAGGAGTAGGGTCGCCTGTCCAACCTCATGGGTTTTCTCCAGGTCCTCTAGTTTCGTGTCACTGCTAAAGACCCCTACGCGCAAGAGAAGTATTGAAGTAAAATTGAACTATATGACCTAGTTTGTGTCAACTGGACATTAAACACGTTAAGCACCGAAGCTAAATATGGGCGTATAGTATGTCCGCCTCGAGTTTGAAGGCCATCTTCACTGTGCAAGGAGGTCGAGTAACATAGGCCAAAGTTACTCTCCAGATGAAGAGAAGAGGTCAGATGGGGTTTAACATCCACGCGACACAAACTAGGTCATTTCGGGACTAACATATGGGGGGGGGGGGGGGTGCGGAGGAATTGGAAAAACCTCACGAGGTTTGACAGGCGACCCTACTCCTTGTCAAGTATTAGCGGGAAATCTAAACCACGTTATTTGACAATCTGATTAAAATACAGATCTGTATTTCGTTTCGTTTTTTTATACTTTCGATAGCTCCTACTACACAAAGATCTGACAAATTGTAGTGCGAGGTCATGTCAGCGGTCATGCGAGCGGCTTTTGACCTTATGACGCTAGACATTTGATTAACCAATCAGCGTTGATATTTCTAGTAGGATACCCACAGTTCCGTGCATCGCACGCCAAGAACTCGCTGCAACTGACAGTTTCATTGGCTAATCCCTCACTTCAATCGAAACACAGTTTATACCAGATCCTATTGTAGTAAAGACAAGTAAAATGAAATTTTGAACTATAATAAAACGAAACGAAATAGGATCTGTGTTTTATTCAGACTGCGTCATTTGAATGTGTTAAACCATTCGACGTCAAAAATAAAGATAATACTTTAAGCGATGCAAAAATTTTCTTACAAAAATAAATATTTCAATTATTAAAACATAATTTAAAAAAATTAAACAAATATAAAGCAGCCAAACCATTAATATAAGAATTACTCGTCTATAATACAACTTTCATTTTCACAAAAAAAACAGTTAAATAAACAAATCAAATAAATTAATCAATCAATCAATTATATTTTACAAAGTTTGATTTGTTTCTCTCTGAAGGCAAGTCTGGAACAATAGTTGTTGTTTTTCTCTCAAGTCTCGAACAATAGATGTTGTTTTTCTGTCGGTAGTATTGTATACCTGTTCAGGCGTTGTGTACCTGTTCAGGCGTTGTATACCTTTTCAGGTGTTGTTCAGGTGTTTAATGCTCGTACCACGGAGACAGATCAATTTTTGGAAACTTGCTACAGTCAACTTTAAGATTTCTACAAAATACAAATAAACATACATTTACAACCCTGAATCTATTAATTATATTATCAGAATTACTGTCTGAGTAAAGAAATGAAATGGACCTCCTACTCTTCAGCTCCGACTGGGCTAATGAAAGAAATTTTGCCTGGGCAGCGGAAACAACGGCCTATTGTTATATTACGACTGTCAAGGGATCTTTTACGTACACGTCCATGTATACACGGGACCTCGGTTTTTCGTACCACACAAACAACTAGACTGCTGTCCTTGTAGGTCCCTACGTCCCGTGTCACTGACAAAGGGAAAACCATGCTGGAAAAACCCGATAAACTTTCTCAGCCAATGCAGGGATCGAACACGCGACCTCCAGGCTAGTGAGCCAGCACCTTACCCACTTAGCCACCGTGGCTCCTAAATTGGTCAAACATACATTTATAACCACAGGTAATATTTATCTATTGACGATATTATAAGAATTATCGTCTCGTCTCAACATAATATTTTGGTTATTATGGGACTAACACATGGTTATATTTTTCTGTGGTCTCGTGTGAAATACCCTTATACATACACCGGTCTTTTGCGGAAACTCGTGGAAACCCTGATCGAATTTTCGTTAGCCTGCGATCTTTAGCGGGTTGGAATCCATTTTGTAAAGGATGATTAAACGTAAAACTGGGTAATCGTCACTTAGTTTTTTATCGTACAGATTTTAGTAATGATGATCGAGGCTAGCCTAAAATTCAAAATCTAATATCTCAGTTCATCGTGGAACAATTTGACTGAAATTTTCAGCCAATTCCCTTAACATTATCTATTAACTATTATACGAGAACTACCCACTCTTTATCTAATCTCTCTCTCTCTCTCTCTCTCTCTCTCTCTCTCTCCTGTTTCAAAAGGTCGGCAAACGCCAGATTTTAACACTTTGATTTAAAAAAGATGATTTCTACCTGTAGTAAATAAGAGTAGTCAACCTGCCGATGTTTTGAAGAAAAATTTTTAATTTTTGCTTATTGAATTCCTGTGTGAATCACATGTGATGTACCATCTCTTATCTCGAGACATGCAGGGTCAAGTGATGAGGTTTCTTGATTGCATCTAGATTATAACACTTGTAGTTTTGTGTTGAGAGAGAAAGACAGAGAGATGGTGTTGAACATCCACTCAAAGTCATGTCACAAACTATATCATGTTTGGACTAATATGTATTGGTACATTTTTATTTAAAAAATTCACTTCTTCTTGATGGTCGTTTGCAGTTGGACAAAACCAGAGAAAACCCACAAGGTATTATTAGACATGCATTGTAGGCTCCTTGGACATATGTAGCCATGGTGGCTCATTGAGTAAGAAGTTGGCTCACACCTGGAGGTCCTGTGTTCAATCCCTGCATTGGCCGAGAAAGTTCCCCGTGTACACATAGCCTTGCACATAAAAGATCCCTTGGCAGTTGGAAATCAATACAAGATTAGGTCATAGTGCCGCAGTCTGGGCTAAATTTCCCCTCATAGCACACTATGTTGTCTATTGCCATCTTCATTAGCTCAGTTGGAGCAGAACATTAGGACGTTAAACCCCATTTCATTTCATTTCCTGGACATTTACAAATGTGGAATTGAAATCAAACCCAATCACTCAATGACAGACTGTATTTTGACCGTTCAAGCCCTATACCGCTGTTCAGACCACCTATTGTTTTCCTCCAAATTTAACTTTAAAGAACAGAAATTAAGGTATTAGGTTATGCCATTGTGAAAATAAACATTTTCAATTTTCTCCACATAAAATCACTCTTGTTTGTTTCTGTTTCAAGTTTTTGAACTGAGTTCGTGTTCAAAAAATATAGGAACAGAAGCAAACATAGGTCTTGATGACCTACTCTAGTCTAACAAAATTTGGATCTGCATGCCTGTCCCGTGAGCGTGCATATGCATGAGTTTATACATGTACATGTATCTAACACAAATGTACAGCCTAAATATATACAGGTTGAATAACTCAACAATGACTTCACACAAACACTTAAAGTATTGAAATGACCAAATGTTTGTTTCGGTGAGATGAAGACTGGCAAATATACATCTCTTTTCACTAAATGCATATCTTACTTAAGGCTATTATCCAAATTTGAAAGGATCATTAACATTTAATATACATTTTTTTTCCAGATATGGATTTGCTTTTCACCTATTACAAACATCACTACAGCCTACTTCAATATCAGTGGAATGCAAGTTAATTGGTTATCATTAGTTTACCTAATAGCTTCTATACCATGTGGTTTTACAGCTTCCTGGCTTTTAGATACTTTAGGTTTAAGAATAAGTGTATGTATTCTATTGATCATAATATATATTCATTACTATTAGTAGATTATCAAAAAATAAAAAGAAATCTTGTTTGAAAGAAGGATTTAACAACCAAGTTTTGATAGGGTACAAAAATCTGACCACTTTGTGTTCATCAAAAGGAATTTGATTTATCATACCCAGTAGATATCCTAGTCTATATTATATTGAAAAAGACTAGTAATTAACAATTCTCTTTCTCCATTTTCCCCTTGGCATATATATCATTACCTCAACACCTTGACTAAGTTCGATAATAGTGCGCATTTCGTATAGTTTCATTGCCTCAGTACCTTGACTAAGTTCAATAATCTTTTGGGAGAGTGGTGAAACTGGTGTATATTTTCATTAAATCAAACTCGGATGAAATTGACTAAACTCGATCATGAGCAATTTGTTTGATCAAGACTTTGGAGCTCGACAATTTAGATTCTAATTGAGTGAGAATGGTGAAACTTGCCATATATCATTTCATAGATACCTTGACTAGGTTCAATAATGCACATTTCCTATTGTTTCATTACAACGATACCTTGACAAAGTTTAATAATGAACATTTTCTGCGTCAATGATTTGATTGAGAGTGGTGAAATTTGGAGTATAGTTTCTGTACACCAATACTGTGACTAAGTTTGATGATGAGAATTTTCTGCTCAGATAAGCAAAATGATCGATGCTTTATAAAAAGATAAATATTTAATTAAAAAATGTGTGTCATCTAATTGCCTTTTCGATTTAGCGGGGAGACATTAGCCTCATTGTTGGCTCGTTTCTACAATTTTGTTAAATAAATATAAGTTTCTATTCAGTATATGTCCCCATACGAATAAATAGATTTATTTATTATGTGTTTATTTTTTATTCCAGATAATTTTGGCGGCATGGTTGAATGTTACAGGGGCTTTATTACGATCTCTCACCACATATACATTTATTCCGTCAGATATGAAATATCCTGTTTTATTAACTGGTCAACTTATAGCTGCTTGTGCTCAACCATTTATTATGTTCTGTCCTACAAAGCTTGCAGCAGTATGGTTCCCAGGATCACAGAGAGCCACAGCTAACACTATAGCCTCAATGGGTATGTTTGGTTTTGCTTAAATATATGCTTATATGATGGTATTATTAGGGTTCCAGCTGCCTTGACGATAAGCCTGTTATAATTGTGTTTTCTTTATTTTATTCTCCTTCTTCATCTAAATGTAACCCATCGTTTTCTTGGAAACTATTGTATATTTCTGCGGTTATCTCAAACAATAGAAAAAGGTAACCCAACCAAATTTTCTCAAAATGTGAGAGAGAGAGAGAGAGAGAGAAATGGGGTTTAACGTCCACTCGACACAGACTAGGTTATTTCGGGACTAATTCTCAAAATGTACACCAGATATACCGGTATAAAATTCTGTGGAATACAATCACTGGTTATTACTAAGTAACATTTCAGTAAAGACCAGAGAAGCCTGTTGTTTAAATACATGGTAAACAAATATAAAGGATGCTGACAACCAAAACTTGATGTCAGCTGGTTACCCACAAATAAATGCAGATCTTTCTCATTATAGTCTTACACTTTGTTTTCTGTTTTACACCTTTTGCAAAGCAGTTTTTGTTAATATTTGGTCTATAATTGAAGAACATGATTTCAATTTATATTTACTTCCAGAAAATTCTTGTTCTTCATTTCTTGTCATTCTAATTTTTTTATTATTTAATTTCTTTGAATTATTTTACAGCCAATCCCCTAGGAATATTATTAGCCAATATAATGTCACCAAAAATTGTTCAAACTAAAGCAGATATGCCATTAATGGTAAGTATATTTTCATGGGATAGTCCTTAATTCTTGTTACCAGTATCACTCTACTGATCAGCTATCATCCAGCCCAGCTGACGACTGGAAATTTATACTACCAGTAAGAGTTGATAGGCTTTGATCCAGATTTAGTGTTTTTAGCATTTTATCTGTTCAAAAATGTATTGCTTGTAAAAATAAATTATGGAAACTTCAATGGTAACATAAAAATTAATTTTCCATATAAATACGAACATCAATTTCAAAGACATGGCACATATACAGGGTTCCCGCGGTCCTTGAAAATCCTTGAATATCCTTAAATTTAAAATTTCATTTTCAAGGTCTTGAATATCCTTGAATTTCGCGGAAATAGGAAAATATCCTTGAATTTCAGTTGAGATCCTTAATTTTGTTTCAAATGTCTTCAATTCCTTTTAAATATGAGATTATAACGATAGTTGGTAATGTTTTGATTATTTTTAAGATGAAAAATTGTAACTTTAGGCTAAAAAATGTCCTTGAAAATCCTTGAATTTGACGTATATTTATCCTTGAATATCCTTGAAAAAATGTTTGACGAAGCCGCGGGAACCCTGATATATGTATCTGATTGATCTTCAATGGTCGATATTAATCTATCAATATATCGTAATAATAAGTCTATCCGGATTGCTATGTCAGTGCCATCTGTGCATATTTACTTACCCTACTTCATTGTGATAAGTAAACGTCTGCATGTTGCATTCCCTGTAATTTCACTTATAAAATATTGGGCAGACAATCACAGGTGACACAGTTTGGTTCATCTTTTATTGTTTTGGAGTTTTACCTGTCCAGAAATATATATCTACATGTATATAAATGTCTATTAATTTTGAAGCTATGGGTCTGTACAGGTATAAGTGGTCTAGGTGCCATCATTGCTACATTTGGTGTGTGTAGTTCAGGACCACCTACTCCACCCAGTGCTAGTGCAGCAGAAGTATCAGAGCCTTTCTTCTCAGGGCTCAAAAAGGTAGGAAACAATTATGGAGGAGTTTGTATGAACAAACTGGTATGTGAACACAAACTGTTACACTATACTTTTACATACTGTATACAGCCACATTGAAATGTAGTTTACTTTGGAATATCTTGAACTTTTTTTTTCAATAATTTAATAGTGACATAATAAATTACATCCTTTTTCAAATTTTATAATTATTATTAATTTTACTGTTTTTAATGATTAGATATCCTCACTCAATCATTCAGTCATAGTTCCTGTCATTTTCAATGTACTCGCTTGATCAAGTAAAACTGAACATAACTGTACTACTAGTTGCTGTACACAGTGCTAACATTGTATGCATTTGAGATGATTCTATTCAATCAGTTGCAAAGCTGATCAATACTTAGCATTAGAGAATGTTTGTTTGAATAATTTTTGTCTTTCCATTCAAACAAACTGGGCTGAGTTTTTGGTATGCAATTAATATTTCTGAACTTATCTTGGAAACAGTTCAGAATGACTTTATGAATGTACACACATCAGTCTATTAAAATAGTTGAGAGTATTCCTCAATAGTAAACTTATGGTTGAATAAATTGTGTACTTCATTGGAAATAAATCTGACTTAGTTTTTGGTATTCATTTGCTTTTCAATATTATTGCTCAGAAATATTACCCTGTTAATAGATAAATGAATTTACCATATGCTAATTAACAATACATGATACTGGTACACAACCAGAATTCGGTTCTTGACTGTACTACAGAGTCTGTACCAACCAGAACATATCCAAGGTTCTCTTGTTATAATTAAAATGATAAAATGTTGGGTTTTTTTCAGCTTTTAAAGGTAAAATCTTATTGGTTACTTTGGACAGTCTTTGGTGCAGGATTAGCAATATTTTCTGCCAATACAACTTTCATAGAACAGATTTTGTGCCCAAGAGATTACAAAAATGTAAGTTCATTTTGTATTTGTCCATCTTAAAACAGTCTGATTGAAATACAGATCTGTATTTCGTTTTGTTTTTGTATACTTTCAGTGGCCTCCACAACATATAGATCTGACCGGTTGTAGTGGGAGGTCGCATCAGGGGTCATGTACGTGGCTTTTGACCCTACATGTATGATGTCAGACGTTTGATTAACCAATGTTTTAAGTGGGTGTTTGGAAATACAACTTTTGCTTTGTCTTTGCATCGAATGTCTACTCACAATTCCATGCACCGCATGCCAAGAACCCACCCCAACAGATCATTTGATAGGCTAATCCCACACATAACCCAGAACGCAAGTTATATAACGACTTTTCCAGATCCTAATGTAGTGAAGACAAATAAAAAAAAATTTTGAACTCTAAAAAATAGGATCAGTGTTTTAATTAAATTGATCTAAGAAGGTGTGGTCATTAAAGATCTGTTGGACTTTGAAGATAAAGTATTCAAAATACTTGGGGTTTTTTATTATTTTCTTGCCAAAATTGATAATGCCTCATTTAATTTTATCTGATATCTTTCATCCATCTGTCTTGTTTTGCTAGAGGAATAAATGAATAGTCACATCTTCAATGATTGTCCGCTCAGTTGTTGCCCCTTATCCAAAATCTTAACAACCACTCTTCAAAATGTTCCTGGTGGTTGTATATTCATTGTCTAGCGATATCATATTTTGTGTCTTGTAAATAAATCACTATGTGACGGCATTTATGGACAGCTTGGACAATCTTGCTTCTGTGGCATGCAACCGATCTTTCAAAATTTTGAGAACCAGTTGGATTAATTTAGTATAATTTCACATGAGAATGGACACTGCAATAGATTAACCTAAAAACAATGTGTCAGATTTACTTAATTTCCATGGAGTATTTAAGCATAGTTATTAACATCAGTGGATAGCATGAATACTAAAAGGTAACTGAATGTGTGTGAGATTATTAAATAACAGATGAAAGGATACTTGTTTCAAAAATAACAGTAACTAGTCATGTCTAAACCATTGACTTGTATAATACAAATGAATAAGATAACGCAACAAATAAAATACACATTGTTCATGACACTAAATAAAAGTATAATATTGCTTAAACAAAAATTTTGACAAATTGCATTATAACGATGTTAGAAAAAGATGGTGTGACGTCATACACACTTGATCTGGGCAACTTCCAGCGGTACAGATGCTGGTACAGGCCTGCGTTACATTGGATGATATTTCTATTTCTAAACAAAAACAGTTGATTAAAATGGTTCGTCAATTGTACCACTGGAAGTTGCCCGGATCAAGAGCATGTGACGTCATCGCCATTATTTTCTAAGATCGCTATAGCATGGAAGACAAAACTGCTTGTGTGTAGATGTTTCATTGCCTGGCAACCCTTTTTTTCCTAGTCTTTTTCAGGTCTTTGTGGAGCACTAATGATTGCTGTCGGGGCTGTTGGAGGAGCTGTAGCTGGACTGTTTGTTGATAAAACAAAGCTATTTGAAGAAGTTATTAAAATGAGCCTTGGCTTAGCTACATTATTTGGAATATTCTTTACATTGGTCAGTTGCTTGAACTTGCTATAGCACATAAACTCCCATCACAGACCCAACAGTAGGGTAGAAAATAAAGACCCCATTATTTCTATGTTAATGTAATTTGTACAATCTACTTGGGTCCTCACTTTCAGTATTGTGCTTCAGACATATCCTAAGAAAATAAAGAAATTGAGGACTTAAGCACCATTTTTGTTTTTTTTTGTGGGGGGGGCGGCTGATTAGGAAGTGATGATCGGTTGACTATGTTTTTTGTAGTCATATTAAGGTACACTGTTGATGTATAAGCAGGATGGTCAAAAAACCTCAAATGAAATAAACAAATATTATACTGGAAATGTTGCACATCTTGCTCAAAAGTAAAATAAATAAAAATTATATTAGAAAGGCTTATCATCTTGCTAGTGTACTCGCACTTTTGGTTCTCCGCATCAGTTCCCTTATAGAGAGCTATGGTGGCTCAGTGAGTAAGGTGCTGGCTAACTAACTAACTGGTGTTGGCTGAAAAAGTTCCTCAGGATTCTTCACCGAGGTCCCATGTACACGTTGGCAAGTAGAAGAATCCTGATAATTCTAATAATTACTGTTAAGATTTTTGCTCAGTTTTGGCCCTTGATCACTTTGTAAAATCTTGTGGATGCTCTAAAAATTTATACACAGAGTTTATATTTATAAGATGAAAAATAAGTTTCTGTATACTTTTGTTTTATAATTTGTCATTTTCAGCTGCTCTTATTTATTAATTAACACCAATTATGATAAGGCTTGAGATGTCATGATAATGTCTCTAGTATGCCTCTATTATCAGAAACTAATAACTTTTAACCTTAATTGTCCCCCGCCTTTCGAAGAAAGCAGGGGATTATTAAAATGAGTTCGTCTGTCTGTCTGTCCGTCTGTCTGTCTGTTTGTCACACTGTTTGGGACACAATAACTTTACTTCTAATTGAGCTAGAATGTTCAAACTTGGCGTAAGTGTGTATTAGGTTGATGTCTTGATGGAGTTCGAAGATGAGCATTTTCTGCTTAGCGTAAGCAGAGGTATTCAATTTGATTGGTTGATGCTTTGGAACACGATAACTTTAGTTCTGATTAAGTGAGAGTGATGAAATTTGGATATAGTTTGGTGTATTTTCTGCTCAGGGTAAGCAGAGCGATAAGCAATTTGATTAACTCTCCTTCAAATTGAGGTAGAGTGTTCAATCTTGGTGTAGGCGTTGACTGGGTGAATGCCTTGATGGAGTTCAAAGAGGACCATTTTCTGCTTAGGGTAAGCAGAGATTAGGAATTTGATTGGTTGATCCTTTTGGACACGATAGCTTTGGTTCTAGTTAAGTGAGAGTGATGAAATCTCATCTATAGTTTAATTATATCAATACCTTGACTAAGTTTGCTGATGAGCATTTTCTGCTTAGGGTAAGCAGAGTGATAAGCAATTTAATTGGTTGAGACTTTGGAGCTTCTAAGCAACTTTGTTTCTAATTGGGTGATAGTGGTGAGATTTTGTGTATAGTTTTATTACATCAATACCTTAACTAAGTTCGGTACTGAGCTTTTTCTGCTTAGGCAAAGTAGAGACTTCAATCTGATTGATCTAGACTTTGGAACACAATACGTGTAACTCTCATTCTAATTGAGGTAAAATGTTCAAAATTGGTATAGGTGTCTATTATGTAATGCCTTGAGATAATTCGTCCATGCGCATTTTCCACTAGGGCTAAGCAGAGATGAGCAATTTGATTTGTTGAGGCTTTGGAACACGATAACTTTGGTTCTAATTGGGTGAGAACAATGAAACTTTGAGTATAGATTCATTATATCAATACATTGACTCAGTTCAATGATGAGAATTTTCTGCTTAGGCTAAGTAGCGATAAGCAATTTGATTGGTCAAGACTTTGGAACATAACAATTCTGCTTTTAATTTTGGTATAGATGTTCATTAGGTGAATGTCTTGTCTGAGTTCAATGATTAATATATCCCATTAAAGCTAAGCAATTTCTTTGGTCGATGCTTTGGGACAAGATAACTTTGACGCTAACTTCAAAATCTGAGTTTGATAGTGAACATTTTACGCTTAGACTAAGCATAGATAATCAGTTAGATTACTCAATACTTTTGAAAAAGATAAATGTGCAATTAATTACTCTGTGTCTGGTTTTTTTTGGTTTTTTTTTTAATTTCGGCGGGGGACATCAGCCTCACTGTTAGCTTCTTTTCTTTTAGATCAGTAGAATACGAGGTCATCCAATTTTAACAGCTATATCAATATCTGGATTTGGATTTTTTGGTTTTGCTTTATATCCTATATCAATGGAATTAGCTGTTGAAATAACATATCCAGTAGCAGAAGCAACAAGTTCTGGTTTTCTCTTTATTTCAGGGTAAGTTATTGTGTTATAGCCACATTGTTGTAATAAGACAAACTATGAAAAGGGTTCATGAAATACTTCTGTCCATCACACATCCAAGACTTTCATTTCATGTTTTCTGGTATTATCCCTTAACTGGTCATTGTCGACTATAGTCACCACAACGTTATGCAGCTAAGTGGTCACGGTCGACTAAAGTCGACCACAGCAAGAACCTTTTTTATAAGCCGCATTTGAGTATTTAGTTTTGTATTTAATTGATATGACCACGCATGCGTGTCAGACAGGAACTTGTCTTGTCAAGGGCATTAAGAAAAACATGTCTTTGTTCAACATGTTTTGACGAAAAACGTAATTTAACGGTGTCGGGAACGTTAAAGACGCTCAAAGTGGTTGAAATACTTATGAATTATTCCGAATCGGATTATATCGATGACACCGATTCAGAACACAATATTTCTGATGAAAATGATTTAGAATGATTTGCAAATTATAGATCAACTTATCCCCAGCAACTTTTTTATTGGTGTCAAAAGTCTATCACTTATAATTATTTGGCAGAAGTCGATTGAAATAGGCATACAAAATATTTCACATCAGCCTTTATTTAGCCTGACCACTTGATGTCATAACGTCAAAATGACGTCGACCGGTTAAGGGTTAAATAGTTTTAATAATTCTGGTCTGGCGTGTATTTATTTATTACTGAATATTTTGTCTTTAAGCCTCATTGTGTCTTTAGGTATGTTGATTTAAACTTGCTGACTGTATCACATATTATTATGGCAAATATTTTTTATTAATAGGCAAATACAAGGTGTTATTTACATGTTAGTGGCACAGTATTTAGCTCAACCATTACCAGCAAATGAGGTTATATTACCAAATGCATGTAGAACCAATGGTACTAGTGGCAGTGATATCAGTCAAGATTGGACAGGTAATCAGGTCTATCTATATTTAACTTATACTAGTTCTACTGGTAACAAAATGTGCACATATATGATTCCTAAAGTGATTATGATCAAATTAAACGGATTATATGTTTCCAGAGACTTTTATTACACCCCACATTACTGGGGACTGAATGAATTCTAATGTTGTTTCGTTCAATTTCATTTTGTTTATTTTCTTGTTTCACCCCGTTTCTTGTTTTATCTTGTTGCTTAGTTCTTAGATACTCTCATTAGAATACAGACTGAAAAATAATTTATATGACTGACCAATTTAGTTTTTTTTTCTATTTTTCAGTGCCAAATTTATTTTTTAATGCCTTAGCAGCGTTAGGTACAGTTATACTTATTGTCTTCTTCCATCCCCATTATCGAAGAATGAGAGCCGAAGATGTAGCCAAGGCAGAGTCCATTTTAAATTATGATTCCACAGATTCATCACATTCAGGAGCATCCAACAGAACACCCCCAATGTCATAGCATATGGAGTATTATTTTTCTATAATACTCTTGTACCAACTGTCTTTCATTTTATTAAATTTTGATGATAATTTCTATTTTGTCTAAACACAAATTTTATAATTAGTTCAATCCTTTTGAGGCTGGTTGAAAAAGAATGGTGCTGCTTAAGATTTGTAAGTTCACTTACAAACTGGATTGGGGATCAGTCTGCATGCTGATGCTAGCTTTAAAGAAACTTAAATGACTTATTGCCAACTGATAGTCCCATGCTTGTTTCTTACGATTCTGTATCCCCTATGTCTGTATCTAAATACAGATGCTTAAATTTGTGAGCACTGTTACTCTTCTGTAGCAAAAAGGTGGGTGGGGGGGGGGGTTGTATGTGCCATTAGGGACCTAAATTGAATCACCATACCGATCATCAGTTTTTTAAGACTATCTACCAATCAAAGGCGGTAGGACATTGCATGAACAAATGTGCTGCATGCCATATAGCTTACATGAAAAGATTGCATTTATTGCCCATTATTGGTACACAATATGACAAAGGTCTGTGTACGGTCTCAGGTATATACTCATTAGTTTGTTTTACCTTAATATGAATGCATTTATAATAAAGAAATGAAATGAAATGGGGTTTAACGTCCTACTGTTCTACTCCAACTGGGCTAATGAAGCCGGCCATTCGTCATACAGTGTGCTATGAGGGAAATTTTGTCTGAGCAGCGGCACTATGGCCTACTCTTATATCGAATTCCAACTGCCGAGGGATCTTTTACATGAATGCCAATGTATACATGGGACTACAGTTTTTTGCCCCATCCAAACAACTAGACATTAACTTATCCAGACCATAATCAACTCTCAATGTCATCGCTAGCCTGCGATATTTACTGGATTAGGATCCGATCTGCTGCTCAACGCACATTCATGATTAAATCAAAAAATGGATAATCGAGACTATGTTTGTTATCGTACTGACTTTAGTGATGATCGAGGCTAGGCCCAAAATTCAATCTCTTAATTCTCGGTTTAGAGCGGATCGATTTGACTGAAATTTTCAGTAAATTTCCTTTACATTATTAAGTTTATAACTATTATGATGAGATCTGCCAGCTCTTTATCTCATTTCCCATAATGTATCTTGTATTTGCATACTATTATGCCGCCTACAAAATGCTGTCACCATGCGATACGTGAGGGGTGCCTGTTCTGATCTGGTCAGTTTAAATTGCTCGATTCCTGCCCGTAGCCAGAACCATGAGGCAAGCGAGATTTCGAGAGGGGCAACTAAATATCGATAATGATACTGTGGGTTCAGAAAATTTATGAGCTTGCTACCCAGCTTAGATGTTGAAAATTATAGATCACGCGAGACCACTCTATTCAAAAACCTTGCTGCAAACAAAAATAAACCTGTGGCAGCCAGGAAGACACTACCACATTTTTCAAGAACAAAAGAGATTTTTCGTAGAATCAAGGACCATAATTCAGGAATTATGATCCGATATGCAAGCAGGGACCAAGATCTTTGGGTTATAAAGATATATTTCAAGTTTCATCAAAATCGGATCAAAATTGTGATTTCTAAAGGGTCCACAACCTTGATATACCATATATTTACGCTGTTTGCATACGAGGGGCGGCCATTTGTCTGGCGGTTTTGTTCCAATTTTCACTAAATTCGAACTCAGCCGTTATTAGGGTATAACAGTGATATTTTCAAACGTTTTTTTTTTCAATCAGATAAAAATTGTGACCTAGAGGAACCACTAGCTAAAAACGCGATTTTTCATACAATCGGGGGCCATAATTCTGGAAGTTACGATTCGATATGCGTAAATATCGTAAGGGACCAAGATCTTTTGGTTATAAACATTCATTTCAAGTTTCATCAAAATCAGATGAAAATTGTGACCTCTAGAGTGTCCACAAGCTAAAAACGTGATTTTTCGTACAATCAGGGACCGTAATCCATGAAGTTATGGTTTGATTTATGCCAATATCGAAAGGAACCAAGATCTTTGGGTAGTAGACCTATATTTTAAGTTTCGTCAAAATCGAATAAACTTGTGACCTGTAGAGTGTCCACAAATTGTGGACGGCCATCCGGACGGACAGGGACGACGACAATATACGTCCACATGAAAATGTGGGCGTATAAAAAGTTATCATTAGATCTACGTCCACTTATAAATTGATTTTCTGTTCTATTCCCGGGTTATTAGAAACACTCTTGCTGCATATTCCTGAAACAATGGCCCGAGAAATCCCTCTCTAGCCATTGCTACACCGAGAGAGAGAGAGAGAGAGATGAGGTTTAATGTCCACTCGACACAAACTAGGTCATTTCGGGACTAACACACGGTTCATTCTTGTTTCAATAATTTGATTGCGCGTAGGGGTCTTTAGCAGTGGGAGGAAACCGGAGCACCCGGAGAAAACCCACGAGGTTGGACAGGCGACCCCACTCCTTGACAAGTACAACCAGGGAATCGAAACCCCGCCAGTTAACTCAATGACAGACCGTATGATACAGCGCCCGTGTGCTAACCATTCGGCCATTCACCCCCCCCCCCCCCCCAAGCTACACTAAAAACTTGAGCTTTTTACGGAGCGTGACCGTTCTCAGCGTCCAATCAAATCTCTCTTAGTATTAGTAGGGCCTATAGTAAAATAAACTGCCGCATAAAGGGGGTGACCTCCGATCAGGCGCGTAGCCAGCCTACTTGCTGTGGAGGGGCAGTGATCTTTTTAGGGGGGGGGGGGTCTCTCCCCCAAGACGAAGGTGGGTACCTCTGTTCTCCCTCGCAACATTTAGAAAATTGGACGAACGCAACCGTGTTTTCCAGCCCAGAAAATCGTTCTCTGAAAAATGAACATAGTGACAAGACGGGCCCACACAACAGTGGGCCATTGGGCAAGTCAGTACGAAATATATGTCAGAGCGTAACCAATAAAATGTAATATATAAATAACTCCCAAAATCAATACTCCACATGATGATCCGTGACTGCTGTCTATTACAAACAGTAGGTATTTTAGGACTATTCTCGGCACTGCTTGCCCCCGGCTGGCAACGGAGTTGCCTCCGATATAAATTCTATAAACGTGAATGTTTGTACCAATTATTACTGCCTACCTAGGTCTATTCGATAATATTTATCCATTTTTGTGAAGAAAATCCATGAATTATTTATTTTATTAAAAAAACACATGTATATCTATTCGAAACTATGGACATCCAAAACTGGAAATGTATCGTCATCACCCCTACTCGGATCATGTAGGCTAGTCTTGCTCAATGAATGATGCATTTGCAGGGAATGTAAAAAGAGCTCATTACCGAGCTATTGTGTGGTGTTCACTGGAACATGGTAATCCATCGAACTTGATCCGTAACTGTATTGCTGGGTGAAGGATACTAAATTGAGAACGGTCTGGCATGTGGCCCATCAGAGGCGAATGCAATCTGAGTGACACCCCAAGTAGTACACTTGCTTATAGCTGCACTGGGGATGGCTTAGAACGTACAGTGTTCTGCGCCTATGCTGTCGCAGGTTGCAACCAGACACTCGACTAAAGGATTAAGCTGAATATTTCCTAGTTTTGTGGGGTTTGTTTTCGTATTTTGTCCCCTTTTTTTCAGGGCCATTCCATGTGGCCATGGATCTTCTGATAGGCATGTATGTGGTGTTATCGTATCACTGAAATGCTCCTATGTTCAGAAATATACTAAGCAACAAAAGAAACGTCAGGTTTGTATGTTACTCTGAATAGACGCATTGTATAAAACTTGCCAAATGTTTTTATTGTATATTTGTGACCACATCCCCAACTTTACCAGAGCAATATAAGGCTCCTTCCCAAACATAGAATTGAACCCAGGAAATGTTCTCAAAAACGCAACCTGACTTCTGAGATGGTAATGTGTTCTCCATGATTTTCATGTAGCTCATGCTACACGTGCTGTTCACAGTACAACGTCAGCAGCATGCCACGATTCACGACAGCTCAGCTCAGAGGAACCAGGCGCTTGGAATACTCGACGCTGGCTACACTGCCCAAGCCGTTGCCAATCAATTCCAGGTCAATGTTCAGACCATCTACAGACTTCAGCAACGCTTTCAGGCCACCAACACCACCGGATGATCGTACCGAACTGGTACACCAAGGGTTACAACAACGCGACAAGACCGCCATGTTGTGCGAGAGCACGTGCAGAATCCCTTCACACGGACATCTGAGACAGCACCTCAAACAGTGGGAACACACGGAAGACCCATCAGTACCGATACAGTGCGCCGACGTCTCACCAGAGAGAATATCCATTACCGTAGACCTTACCGTGGGCCGACCTTCACCCCTCGCCATCGACGCGAACGTCTACAGTTGGCCCACGAAACCAGAACTGGTGACACAGGCAATGGAGAACTGTTCTGTTCACAGATGAGGGTCGGTATTACGTATCAACTGCAGATGGCAGGACCAGAATATGGCGTCGACGTGGCCAGCGTTATTCTGACCAATGTGTCATTGAACGAGACTCATGGGGAGGTCCAAGCATAATGGTTTGGGGTGGAATCGGCCCGAACCAGTGAGTGGGCCATGTGGTGTTCCAAAATCTTAGTCCAGGGAGAGGAGGCGGCATCACAGCAGTGCGCTAAATCGATCAAGCTCTCAGACTCCACGTCATACCACATTTTGCAACATTGTCTAGCATGACAACGCCCGTGCCCACACCGCCAGAGTTACCCGGGACTTTCTACAGCAGAACGGCGGTGTAAACGTTATGCACTGGCCAGCCCTTAGTCCGGACTTAAACCCGACTGAACATCTTTGGGATGAAGTTCAGAGGAGACTTAATAACGTCGTACCGAGACCATACACAGCCGATGGAATGCGCCAGGCTTTTCTGAGAGTGTGGTTCCAGGTGCCAATGGCGTTCATCAATCGCCTGGTCCACTCCATGTACAGACGCTGCGCTGCTGTTATTGACACTCGCGGTGGACACACCAGAAATTGATGTATAGACTGTGTACAGGCTCTAAACCTTCTCGTAATGTCTTGGAATTGTGATGAATTAATCACTAATGTGTCAACATACTGTTCAGAAAAAACTGCTTTGATCCATTTATTAAGTCGTTTTCTAGAATGATTTGATTAAAGTGCCTCTCTGATTTTGAAATCGTTTAGTATATATAGTTTGTATCTAGATATAGTTTGGTTTGATGAAATAATGGACCTCAACCGCAGCTATCGAGTTAAACGTCCATATTGTCTGGTATTTTGGATTTTACTATATCATCTAATGATTTCAATGTATTCCTTGGCCCCAAAAACATACGGTTAGACACCAAAATTATCATCCTAGACAAAATATAAAGGGAGTTATAGGGAATTATTTGAATTTCTCAAAATGCTCAAGGGTGACCCCATGTTCCTGAATCAACGGCCGCGAGTTTTACAACATCTAGATGAGTACGTAGTTAAGGCGAGATCAAGCCTTCTATTGAAGATGGGGTTACCCTGCAGGGCAGACTCTGAAAGGCAGGCGTTCCTATAGATCATGTAACCATTGTAGTGAAAACACGTGGAATGAAAATACCAATATCATTCATAACTGAATGTTTTTCTGTACAACATATTCTATTCAGACGCACGAGAATTAGCTTCATGTATATGTAACGAAAAGAACGATTTCTTTCAAGGATAAAATCTCTTTATTATAATGCGTTTATTAAAAGCAATTTCTAAACTTCCAATTTCTAAACTTAGATATATAACCAATCATATTTTGTTAAATGATACACTTACATAATATAATATTGGCAATTTCAATATTGGTCACCAATCTATATTTATTCTCAAATTGCCGTTATTGTTGCTAACGGGTCCATATTCTTGTCCATCTATGTCATTTTGACAAAGTTATCTCGTTCTGATTGTGGCTAGTGATTTAGACGTTTGTGTCTCTTAGCTTTCTAATTTCTCGTACTTAAGGCCCATTGATACTGGGCGCAAACGCGACCGCTGCGACTTTCCGAGCAAATCATCGTTTGTACTGAAAGCGTCGTGACACGACAGGAAATTCGCAGATGAAACTGGAGCATAGATAATTTGTTCATTACTTGCCTTTTGATCTTTTGGCTAATTAAAATCGTTCGCGTTAACCGTTCACAAATATTAGACAGCGTTCGCGGTTAGATGAACGGCTTCATTCAAATAGTACTTAATTAATCAAATGCGATCGGCGTGTTCTCAGTCGTGTTCTAGCTCAGTATAAACAGACCATTAGTCCATAGGGGCTTTTTTTTCGTTGTTTTCTGTCCACATGTTCATCTTCTGGGTTTGGCGTTCATTGTTATCTGTGGTGCGGGTCTCCTGCATTTAGACATTTTCGACTCTTTTCCATAAACTGTTTGGTTGATTGCAATCAAAGTCTGTAAGCATGCTGCTCAGACATTTATTTGAATTACATACCAAGAATGTTGCAATTTTATCACATTATATACACAAACCAACAATAAAAATCACATCCCTTTAGCTATTTATGGCTGATGTTATGCAATTCCACAATCTTAGCAGATTGTGAAATTACTGCGAAAAATAGTACTTAGTAACCAGGTATCGTTAGAAATTAAAGAAAAATATGAAATATTTATTTTGCTCATTCACTATATTTGGTCTACACATTGGCATTTACTCGTTATTACGGTAAACTATTCATTCGATGATCTCTTCTTCTCCGTGATTGCTGTGCAAACATGCTAAAATGTTTCCATCCACAAGTACGCATGCTTCCACATAAGGATTCTATCGATACACGTGGACAAGCACTACCCCCCTTCTCAGGCTGTTGTAAAATCTGCCTCTTACGCATTCTCCTTCCAAACCCGCATGTCATACTACACGGCCCCCATGCACCCCATTCTGTTACCAAACAATCTAAGGATTCTGGAAATATAAAGCGAAACAAAACGTATATGAAATGAAAAAGCATCGCGGAGTTGTGACATAATGATGTAATCGAAATATGAATTGAATGATTATTTTAAATCATAACATATCTGCAGGGTCTGACCTTTTAACATATTATTTTGTTCCTGCACCATGGAACACATTACGATTTGGATAAGAACGTTTTTATATAATTTTAAGAACTGTCTGTTGTTTAAGCAGAAATGTTCCGTTTGAAAGGGACAATAGAAGTTTTGTACCGAAACACGTTAGCAAAAATGCAGTCATTATTACCCGGCAATGATATTCAGGACGATTTCTTTGCTGGCATTTTCAAATGGGGTGCGGTTTCTCAGTGAGAATCTGGCTTTAAGATGACAATAATTATGATGACAGGTGACAATGGGTGTAGGAGCCTGATGAGTTTGGGGAGGGGCGGAATAGAAATGCTCGATAGACGCTTTGATTGGGAAAGTTTAACCTTCTCCAGAAAATTTGAAAAATTAGGCGGCTTCCAACTAGTGTTCCTGCCATTCCGGTCCATGAGTACAGTAACTAGAAAGCGGTCCAATATATCCTTATTTATATGACTGTGCCGCCCAAATTTTTTTTCATAAGATTTATGAAAATTTGACAGCTGCAAACGCGTATCCCTGCTGGTTCAGTTAGCAAGTACAGCAATAGTCTATAGCCTTTTTTGCATGGTTTTGTAACCGAATCCTACTATATGCCCATCTGAATTTAAAACCAACCAATCAATCAGCATGCTGACTTCACTAGACACTAGTAATTTTACTTCCCCAAAAATGATGATTCTCGAAAACATATCATTTTACTATGAAAATCCCCACACCTCTGTATGGTTTCATCTGAACATTCAGAAATTCTAATTTTTATTTCCACACCCGGTAAACATCTACGAAGGAGTCCCAAATGTGATTCTAGAAATCAATCCGATTATAATCAGGCAGTAGGCCTCCGATTTGGAGGAAAACAGTCCGAAAAGTTTATTTAACAGGAGAGAACGTTGACCTCGTAGATTCAGACAGGTCAGAAATTCACATGACGCGATATATACCGTAACGGGTAGGTTTAGGTAACCTAACACTAATCCCAACACAGATTGGAAAGACGTATCTTATACATTTAAAACAAAAACATTAATTAAATGTTCAGGCAATGGACACTGGAGAAACTGCTAAAACCAATACCATTGGGTTGTGATCATTTATATGATCATTTATATATAAGATATTTTACAACATTTTACCTGGCCCATGGTACTTTGTCGTGTCTTCACCATACCGAATCCCTTCATTGTTACGGAATACGGATATTGCAGGTACCGTGGGCTCTGTGGGTTCCACAAAGTTTTGTGTTGCTGATCTCCACTTTGGGGAATTGGCAATATGTGAAGATGAGGATGACATTACGGGTATTTGGTCTTTTCTGCTTTTAACCAATGATGTAGTTCTGTCCGTAGACGGTTGCAGCTCCTGTGTCGTTTTCATCAATATATTACTTCTAAAAATATTGCCGTGTTCTAGCCTTTTGGATCTTAGGTAGCCTAAGGAACTATCTTGGATTGCTGAACTGTCATCACTTTGGGTTAGCAATGGTGGGGTGTGTGTCTCGCTTACTTGTCCCACGCTCTTATCATTATTTACAGATTGTGAAGAAGACAAACTCTTGTTCTGATATAAAATGTTTGAGTGATCGTTTTTGTTATTTGATTGTTCTGTCTCTTCTCTATAATTTTTAGTTTTAAGCGGAAGCCCCGTGGTTATAACCTTTGCTGTTTCTAATGTTGTTGTTGGATCTTTAGGATTTTCACTGGCAACAAAAATGTTTATAGAATCCTGGAATTTTGAGGATTTTCGCTTACCACGTCGCACAAACTCACCGATTCGTTCGATCAGAACATGAGCTATTCTTGGTAATTTATCTTGATCGGGATTGTAAAATGGACTGGCTGGATGACGTGGCTTGGTTGTAAGTATCTGATGAACGGGTTCCTGTGGGTGGGAGGGCCAGTTCGGAGAGGTATACGTTAAGCCCTGATCTGTACCGCCATCCATCGGCCTCATCGTCATGTGTATTCTACGACGCCATCGTCCTGCTCGACAAAGGTCCACACTGTCAACTCCAGCAAACCAATCGGGACTTGGAACCATTTTAACTATGAAGGATAGCTGAAATATATAAAATAGAAAGACAATGATAGTACCACTGAAGAATATTATGCATGGATTTAGCTACTTATATATTCCAGACCGCGGCTCCAAACTCACACCGCTATTGCCAGACTGTGTGAAGTAAAGAGAGCTTCTCCGAACGAGTATATCCTCTTTGATTATATAAATCCCCTAAATCAGAATATAGATACATAATGTAGAACTAGTTGTACAGTGATGCAATATTCGTTGTTTGTCTCCGCTTTTGGCAAGGTGAACCGGAAGCGCTAAATCCATCGCAGCTAGAAAGAAATATTGTCAGAATATTTTATCATGTGTATTTGTTTTAAAATTTAAGCAGTTATCCACACATTTTTTTTTCTAAATAAAGAATTCTAAAGACCAGCAAATATTCGTCTGGCACAATTCAGTCAGAAAATATCTGGTCATCAAACATTGATTTTAAACTTGTTTTTTGCTGTTTCTTTAAGTTGTATTGTTGTTATTTGTACACACTTTACGGCATTTTTCAGGCAATGTATTTCCGTTTTTCGGGCACAAGCATCAGAGAATGAGACCATATATAATAGAATTATAATTGGAAAATGAAATCGTTCACGGTTTAGGTTTTGCATACTACATGTATAATACTTAAGACTTGCGCAATAACATTTACGGAAAACTCATTTTAGTTAAAGTAGCTAAGTCTCTAACTCAGTACCATCCAAAGTCTTCGATATGGAAAATACGAATTATTTGTCAATTTAAATCAACATTGATGTTGTGATCTTACCGGAAAAAGTGTGGGCTTCTGATATCCAATATTTAAGACAAAAAGTACATTTTACCACCGGTACACGAATCGTGTACCATAATGCGTTTCAGCGCAATGTGTAACAAGGAACTCGAAGAACGAGGCTAGACATATTCCACAAGTCATGTCAAATGGTGATGCCATATTCTTATCTGGAGAGCATGCGCAATAAATGCTGACCGTGTAGACTGGAATAACCAGACGCTAGATTGAGACTTCTGACGTATTTCGCCGAACATGGCTGATTTGAAAGTAGAGAAAAAATGAAAACGATTGAATGTGAATCAGTTTATATACATTCATATTTAATAATTTTATGCGTTGCGACCCATTTTAAATTAAATTAAATTAACCTAAACAAACCTTTGCATATTTGCCGTTTGCAACGACACGCACTGTACTTCTTCCGACGCCATTTCTTATAGCTTCAGCTGAGAACGAATCATAAGTTCCATTAAAACCTTGGGCATCTTTGTCTAGTAATTTAGAACTTCCTTCTTCAACAAACTTTTGCAACGTCGGCGAAGCAAGTTTCCCCTCTCGCCACAAAATGTATGTGGAATCGTGTGTTCTTCCTGTAAAGAAAACAACAAAAATATATTAACAGTTACCTGTTAACTTATAACACCTGTTAACTTATAACACCTGTTAACTAATAATGGTGCTCTCACCTTTCAGAATTAAAATTTAAGTGACAAAGTATTGTTGTTATAACATTTATTCTCTACAATTATGAAATATACTTAATTTTATCACTTTTTATGCTACTTGACAAAAATAGTTCGAAATTATGACTGTAGGGGGTACCAAAGGTTTATTTGCCTCTCTGACGAGGGCTTCATAGAGAGGCCACACCACCGAAAAGCTACCTGAGACCATCTACATATATTATATTTAACATTAATGTGTGTTGCTAATCAACTTTTGAATGCTCTTGTCTCTGGAATAACTGCGAATAGAGAATTTTTTCAAAATATTTGTCAACAATTGTGTCACTTAGATGGTTGAGAGGTAGGTTAAGCTTTTGAATGTGATCTTTAGCTGTCTACCTTGATCATTTCTCTTGTTATGCGCTGGTATTAACCCAAATCCCGGTCCACAGAAAGTGTCTATCTTACGTCTTAATACAATCAAATGCTAACTTCATAAAATAGCCGTGTATATGTTATCCTATTGTGGTGGATGGTGAAGATGGTGGATAAAAATACAAAGCCTCTAGTGGACAATTTCCACCATTCATATCAGCAGACCAACAGCACTGCAAATTAGTGTTGTATTGTGCTTAAAGATTTCACCGCAGACGTTATTTCAAAGTCAAGTATAATTTTTACGATATTATAAATTTATTCAGGATTGTCCTACTTCGTTTTTAAATAATTTTAATACAACGGAATAAATAATAGCTGTAGCAATTAACTTCAGTTGGGAAAATTATAATTCTCTATGAGATATTCAAATCTCACGTAACCAATTTACAAAACCATATTACCAATTTATATATTATAATTGTGGCCGAATGGTTAGTGCGTGTGCGCTGTATCACAAGGTTTGTCACTGAGTCAACTGGCGTGTTGGACCAAATATGTTTATATAATGTTACGTCATGACTCACGATTTTATTATTCCCAATTAACCAGTGCATAGCAGAATATCGGAGAAAAACTAATTGCATGACAAACGAGACTATCTAAACGAATACAATGTAAACAATACTGATTGGAGACGAACAATACTTTCACCGTTTTTAATACCTTAAATCACTCTCCAAAGTTATAGGGAAGACCCCAGATTAAAGGGCGGTCATGTTGCTGTACTTGGGATAGATTTAATTGAACGGGAAGAAAAGACACACTTCCTCAAAAGCTCAAGTATCAGAAGCCAATCCAGCAATGACCAGAGAGGATTTTTTCGGGCCAGGAATATAGGAGTAGGGTCGTCTGCCCAACCCCGAGGGTTTTCTTCGGGTCCTCCGGTTTCCTCCCACTGCTAAAGATCCCTACGCGCAAGCGAAATATTTAAATAAAATTTAACTATATTTTAGTCCAGAAATGGCCTATATATAGTTTGTGTCGAGTAGACGTTAAACCCCATTTCTCTCTCTCTCGCATAAACTTTTGAAAACACAGACAACTAGAAAATAGAAAATCTAAAAGTGTATATTATTTTAGAATGGTGGAAAATAATCAAAATTTTTTGGACGAATAAAAGTGGTGTTATTAAGTAATGTAAGTTATAAGTTGTCGATTAAGATTAGCTATTGTGATCTTGAAATTCCCAATACGACGTTCATGACAATATCTAACTTTACGAATAAAAGTTTATTTCTCCAGCTTATTAATTATCGGCATTATCATACAATACACATAGAATTAATAATAGTGAAGTGATATAAATTTCGAGGAAACTTGTCATTTTCTTCTTAAAACATAAAGCGGCAAAGGCATCATAATTAACTCTTTGTCAAGATAACAACCAAACCGGCATTTTATCCTTCCAGTTGTTTTCGTATCCTGTTTGTCAATGGTATTTCCCTTCTTATTAGAAATCTGAGAATGTGGCACCGATTGATACAAGGGGTCAACTGTAATTACCGCCCGTTTCACTCCTAATTCTCTGTGTAAAATTATGCCAAAAATTATTTAGGCTACTACCATTAAAATTTCATGATTAATCACACCTTACCAATGAGATTTCCTGTCCCCAATTTTCGACACTTTGTCAACTCTGAGAGATGTACAACTATATTGTCAGTGCGAAAGTAGTAAAGACAAAAGTTACTTTCTTTAATATCTAAAGGCAAGTTCTTCTTTGCAACATGTCTTGGTTGTTATTTGCAAGTTTCAACATTAGGTCCATTATTATTCCTAGTTTATACAGATGATATAAAAGAAAATAGTCAGACAATGACACTCTTAGCTTAGGTTCCCTTCTTTTCTGCCGGATATTGTACCTCGCCTCACTTACCACAGTTGGTCATACTAGCGAAAAAATAGCACATTTTGTAAATAATGCGTCCCTTTTCCATATTAAAATGGTTGTGGGATAATGACTACATAACGTATATCTTAAGGTTTTTACACGGTGAGTATATAATTAGCTGCACATTTAAATATCAAGTTCTGTGTCATTTAAAACGCAATGAAGTTGTTTATTGTTTTAAATGTTAAAAAAGAGAACAGAGGGAAGGATCAAAATTACCCCGAAAAGATGAAGGGCACCAATAAATAGAAGGTGAGATGACTAATAATGTAAGCAAACCTACAAAAGCTAGGTGGCCAAACCATGCCAGAAATTACGATGGCAACAATGCTTTGGCGAACGTTAAAATATACCGTGACATGAATATACCAAAGGATAGTAGAGCAGGCCCGTAATTGAGGAGGGGGGGGGGCACCCTGCAAAAAGTTTCGCCCCCCCCCCCTCCACCCAACTCCTGTGAAAAAATTGTCGACCATAGATATACATGGTCCGTCAATTTTACAGCACCCCTGAGAACACTTCCCGCCCCCCCCCCCCCCACCCTCGTTGCTCTGAGCTAGTTACGGCCCTGTAGTAAAATCTTCAAAAACATAGAAATCAAGAGGTGAACAAGGTGCCGCAGCCTGCAGGAAGGTAAATTTACCAAACCAAAAATTTTCCGCTGCCTCCGCCACACTTTACTGAAAAAAGCGATGTCTGATATGTATAAACACATGAATTTCAGAGAGAAATAATAAATATTGGTAGAGGTTAAAGACTTGTTTTAAGAAAAACAGCACGTGTTAAACTCCTGTATGCCATGCATACCAGAGTATTCCTGTACTTTCAGAGAACCCGAGATTTGAAGATATCTGTGAGCTGATAGTAAACATAGCTTGCTGAACACATAGCCTAATAGTTTCGTCGCCAAGGGCCAAGGTTACAATTATAGAAGTGTAGGAAAGTAACTTTTTAATTATTATAAAATAAATGATAACATTTTCTTCTAAAAAGTGTTTAATTTCAGAGGATCTAGTTTTAAATCTGTTAAAACCAACAGAACGGTATCGCCGTTCAAGCTGACTAGACAGTTAAAACGTGAAAATACTGCTGAAACCACAGTTTAATATTAAAGTGTTGTTACTCCAGAAGGTATTATTAGAAACAGTTGAAAATAAATAGGCTGATCTAGTTAAATAATAATTACATTTCAAAAAGTTTGCTGTTTTGCAATATAGGTAGTTGCTAAAGTTATTATTAGAAATCCTTGAAAATATTTAGACGGGCGTGGTCATGAGACATGCTCATGTCGATACTATCTTTGAATTTGTCTTGACATTTGGATTAAATTCTTGACATTGTGCATTATTATTGTTTGTTTTACACTTCGCTATAAAGACGTTTAAGTTAGATTACACAGTGCCGTATTTCAATCGGTTTTTGTTGGTATTCAAGGTGGAATAAGTAATAAATAGCATAAATATTAACCCCTTTTATCATTTAATGTCAACCCAATCCATAAATGGATACAAATTATTGCATATGAGGCATATAAGCCAATTCTTCTTAAAGTAGCTAAGGCTCTAACCCAACATCATCCAAAATCTTCGACATTGAAAACACGAATTATTTGTCAATTTAAATCAACATTGATGTTGTGATCTTACCGGGAAAAGATGTGCTTCTGATATCCAATAATTAAGACAAAATAAACATTTTACCATTTGTACACGAATCGTGTACCATAGTGCATTTCAGTGCCATTTGTAACAAGGGACTCGGAGAACGAGGCTAGATATATTCCACAAGTCATGTCAAACGGTGGCCTCATATTCTTATCTGGAGAGCATGTGCAATAAATACTATCGGTATAGAGTGGGATAACCAGACGCTAGAGATTGCCATTCGATTGAGACTTATGGCGTATTTCGCCGAACCTAACTGATTAGAAATTACAGTAAAACAGAAACGATTGAACGTAAATCAGTTTATATACATATTACATTATTATATGCGTTGCGACCCATTTGTGTCAATTTCTAAATCCAAAATATTAGCGATTTAACTCCTTTAAAGGGCCCATCCCGATAATATTTTGGAGAATAAAACTGTTTAATTTTGTGTTAAAATCCCTTAAAATCCTCTACCCTAGGACCGAGAACTAACTCAACATAATTATGTGATACATTTTCAAACAACTTAAACCCATCAGTCTTTATCTGGAAATGGAGACCGGGGTCCCAAGCTGTATCATGCGATGTTTGGATAAAACCAGAAATTTATTTTATAAAAATAATGTGTAGGTGAAATTTACCTTTCGTTATCAAGTACAGCATATGGGTCATTCATTGTAGAGACCTCTAGAGGAACGGGAATCGATTGGCAGGTCACTCAACGAAACATTTGACCCGAAATCTTAAAAGGGTTACGTGTCTGGATAAGCAGTTTAGACGTTCACGTCCAAACGACTCAATATTTTGAGCTGAAATTTTGAGAAAAGGTAAATACACCATTCCTCTATATTTAAATTCCATACGTACTTAGAGTTTTATTTTTGAGACTCTTTTCAAATCGGGATAGTCCCTTTAAGTTTTGTTGTCCTTATCCCTCAGTTCCTTTAACTGGCAAATTACCTTTGGCGACTCTTAACTATCCTTTTGTAAATTCTCGTTACCACGCTGTTTTAATTAAAGGACAATATTGGTGCCAGTCATTATCACATATGTGTTAGAGCTGGTTAAACACATTCCAAATATACTTTTAACACAGAGATCATTGCTACGATAGCTGAGTAATACAGGTTTCCCGTATCGGAAGTGACGAACGCCAAAGGAAAACACGAGTCACCGCTCTATATAACTGACTGAAGCGACGAGTGATAACAGATACACGGCCGAATTTCTACTCACTAATAATTCCTTCCAAGACCAAAAGTTGTTATATTTGGAATGTGTTTAACCAGCTCTAACACATATGTGATAATGACTGGCACCAATATTGTCCTTTAAGTTAGGCAGTGTGAGTCATGTGTTGTCCAATGGCAAGTTCATATAGCTTACAACTTTGGATTCTTTAACTTTTATTAGTTCGTGTTAGATTTGTGTAAAATTAGTTACACCGAGGGGTGTTATTATACGTTGGTTAGGAGCGATTCTACCGATCATCCACAATAACGTTTTTGTCAGTAGAGCCCACAGCATTGCAAAAAGTGAAAGACAAGGAAATATATGTTATAGAACATCATGGCAATATTCAAAATTTAAATGATTTAATAAAAAAAAAAGGACAAGTGAAATGACACCCCCCCCCCCGCCAAAAAAACCAAAAAAAACAACTGCTCTTGTTAGTCATTAGCAAGACCGTTTTAGTCAAATTTTCAATCATCCATAATTTTTATAATTTTTCATGAAATCTCTTTAATTTTGGATACGATGTGTAAAATGTGCATATCAATAACATATATTTTTATAATACTTTGGGAGATACTGAGAGCAGAAACGCTCTTGTCGGTTCTGTCAGTGAGGACATTCCCAATTGGAAAACACGCTGGAAAATCCCGAGGAACTTTGTCGGCCAACCCCGGGATAGAACACGGAATCTCGAAGAAATATCGGCGGAAACGACGCTGTCCGGGCAAATCTCCCCCCACCCACTGCATTAGTCTAGTTGGTGCAGAAAAGCAGGACGTTAACCCTAATTTTATTTGTTTTTCGTCGGGTTTTGGCAACGAAATCATCGGTTCAAGTTTTTATCTGCTGAATGTAATGTTCAAAAAATTCTGGGGAATGACCCACGTACCCCGCGTCGTATAGCTATGAAGCCAAAACCAGAGAGACAGAGAGAAATGGGGTTTAATGTCCACTTGACACAAACTAGGTCATTTCGGGACTAACATATTGTTCAATTTTATTTAAATAATTCGCTTGCGCGTAGGTGTCTTTAGCAGTGGAAGGAAAACCAGAGAACCCGGAAAAAACCCACGAGGTTGGAATGGACAGGCGAACCTACTCCTTGTCACGTACAACCTTATGATACAGCGCGCACGTGCTAACAATCCGGCTATCCACCCCCGCTCACGCCAAATCCATGTCCCAATCAAAATTGGAATACACATTAATGTAACAGTATTAACGGGAAGTACAGAGCAAGTGTATAAACATTATCAGGAAACAACGAGGAAATTCTCAATACGGATACCTAGACTAAAACCCCTGTAGGAAAAATTTATAACAAAGCACGCACACAAAAACATGACATTACGCAAAGTGAATCGAAAGGAGTCAACTACTACTACGTTGACTCAAGAAGAAAACACTCGAGCCCACATCAAATGAGTCCAGTTATCAAGTCTATGAAAACCACTCAATTTTATTCGACGTATACATATAATTACATATACCACCAACACATGTCAAACCATGATGCGGGGTTTGTACTTTGAAATCGGACCTTTCTAAACTATTACATTAGCATATGTTATGTCATATTGGCCCGCAGCCATAAAGAATGTAAATACTCAGACAATCGCTTTGCTGAACTTTAAGTATTTACTCAAGTTGGGAAAATATACCCATAGTCTGAGTTCACAGAAACAAAAGGTGACTAACTTCATTTAACATTTTATTCTAGCATCAAAGCAAAAGCTAGAACATAATTTAGACCAAGAACTAGATCTAAGCAGGAACTGACTTTCTATTACTTTTGTAATACAAGTGTTATAAACATAGGTAATCATTAATAAGAGAAATCATATCTAAAAATATTACTAGGAATTGACTGGATATCAGTGGTTCGGAACCTTTTTTTGCCAACGACACACCTTGGAACACATGAAAAAATAGCGACACACCTGGCTAACTATACATGAAAAATATTTGAATTTTGCAAAATAAAAACATGGCAAATCATAGACGACATACAACCGTAGACAAATACTAGTTATAGACACATAGAATGACTCAAACTAAATAAAGAAAAACACAGCATTGAACTAACTAGTAGACACCAGTGACGCAACTGGGATCATGTGGTTTTTCGCATTTTCTTAGTGTGCCGTTCAAAATTTCGCGGTACACTTAGGAAGATCTCGCGACACATAGGTGTGCCGTAGCACACTGGTTGAGATTCACTACACTAAACATTCGACAAATTGTACAATTATATATGATCAGTTAATGATCAATATAGAATTGATGTAAGGAACAGATGTGATACCACACTAGCCATTTAAAACCTAAAAAAATAATCCAAAGTGTTGAAAACATCTGAAAACTTTTCTTTTGTATCATAAGAGAGGCCTTTATTTATGTAAGATTTACATAAAGAGCTCGCCGTGCTTGCTATAATATAAAAGTAGTTCCAAAACAATTCAAAATTAATATATTGAAAATTGCATACAAATTAATTTATTCTGAGCGACCTTATCACTGTTTGACGTTTTGACTTAGATTGTTCATTATCGCAGCAACGTTACTTGTTAATCGAGACCCAGACTCTCCATTTTTAAATTAAATCATTAATAGCGATCGTATTTAATCTGTTTACATCTGCGCCATCAGATGTTCTAGAGAGTTGATTATAGTCTTGGCGTGTGAATAAATGTCTAAAAAATAAATTAATCATTATTTGAAGCCAAAATAAAACTCTGTAATAGGCAGATTTAGCTCTTAAATAATGCATTAGCTATTTTGAATTTTCTATGCAAACATTGCTTGTGACTAGATACAGTATTAGCAGATTAGACGACATGCAAGCTGCTATTCAGGACGATTAAAAAATTAGGATTGGGTCACCTATGGCACAAAGAAGCAAACATTATCATTTGCTCTTTTTGTTAAAATACGTGTACTTTATTTCATGTCAGAGATGTCAGTTTTAAAAATGAGAAGACGTCGTCAAATGTAAATACTGATGGCCGCTCCAATTTTTAACAGGGATGTCTCTCGCTGGATAAGTATGGTAAAAAATGTCTCCAATTTGCGCAAACATGATTTATTTAATTATTTCTATGATTCCAATTTTTACTCAGGTAAAGTAATTTGAATTAATTATGAAAGTTTAGCACAAAAATGAACTTGATGTATTATAGGACCCGAAGTCCAGATATAGTAAAGTGTGTGTGCTTTAAGATTCCTCTATTTAGGATGTTCATATTATAACAATTTATGTTATACTTGCATATATTTATAAACAACTTAAGGTTTGCAACTCCACACATTGGTAGGTTGGACGTCCAAGTTATCGACTAAGTTGTTTTTATAGTGTTGAGTTTTTACGGACCGGACATATAAAATATAATGGAAGTTATGCACATGATGTTATTTTAAGAAGGCTATATTTAACCTACATAGGTTTTTATTTCGGTACCATGTATACTAGTATATATATATAAAACCATCAGTTGGACGGCACATGTCCTCTTAATAGGTTACTGCGTGAGAAAATAAATTATCTTACCTACAAGTTTCGACCATTGGGCATGCGGTCTGTATCTTGGGTACATTTTAGGGTAAGATTTCTTCGACCAGTCTCCAAAAAATGACACTTCATACATAGATATTATATCCTCGTTACATTCTTCGCCACGCTTAAAACGGCGCCTGCGACACATGCATGACGCCGACATATAAATAATAATGGTTAAGATTAGCATATAACGGGATCTGTTATATGCCATGCTTTAAACCTTAAACACATCAATCCTTCATATAGAAATATCCTTGATCAGAAATTAGAACGAGAACTGTGTTCGTCCGAACATTTTTCATGCCCACTCACTTTTATTTACGAATAAAACGATCAGTAGCAGAACACGTATTATATATTTTCTATAGTGTAAAGGTAGTTTCGCACTGGCTGTATATTATTGTAACACGTTCGCGAGAAATATCTTAGTCTCACAGAGTGTAATGTATATAAATACTCGATGAGCAATAAATTTATTCAGGGCTTTCATTGGCCAATACATCCATACGCAAGCGATTGTAGAATTTTTTTAGTCTGTGCCTCCATCCAGATGTAAATATAAGTATCCTGTCCAAGAGATTGTCTTGACTGACTCTTAACCACAAAAATATGTTTGCAATATATTTTAAAAAAAATATAATAATAATAATTACATGAATAACATGAGTAACGGTTATGTTTAAAATCGACTAAAATAAGAAAACGTACACGTTGACAAGTACAATACAGGAATTGCTGATTGTGTGCGGACACAGAAAGATGGATAATCCATCTTCCTTACAATGCCTTAAGACGGGATTAATATTAACACTATATTGTGATTCAGTTTATATTGTGTTTTTTCATTTGTGTGACTTCATTGCCTCCGTAGCAACCAATTCTTGGCTGCCCGTCGGTCTGTAATTTTATCATTCATTTATCATCATTTAAAGGAGGCAAGTCTCTAACTCAATATCATCCACAGTCTTCGACAGTGCAAACCCGACTTATTGGTCAAATTAAATCAACATTGCTGTTGTTATCTTACCATGAAAAGATGGGTTTCTGATATCCAATATTTAAGACAAAATGAAAATGTAATGATTGGCACACGAATCGCGTGCCAGAATGCTTTTCAGTGCCATTTGTAATGAAGCGAATCAATGAACGAGGCTAAACATACTCACAGGATTTCGCCGAATGTAACTGATTAGAAATTACAGTAAAAACAGAAACGACTGAATGTAAATCAGTTTTTATACTACATCTGTTAACACTGTTCATCACGTACATTTTGCATTTTGCATACGGATAGTCCATTGGCCAACTACGCTATTTTACCGAAATTTCGTCTAATGGTTTGGATGCAGCTATGGCGGGTGTGGCGTCAGGCAGGGTAAGCTTACTCTTCCGGACACCTGTTACCACTGTTTGTCGTGTATTTTGTACACGGTGAACAGTCCATTTGCTGATTACACTATTTGACCTACGACTTCGAAATTTGTCTAATTGTTTGGATTGTTCGTACTTGGTTTTATTTTATTATTATATGCGTTGCGACGCATTTGTGTCCATTTCTAGGTGCCAAAGAATCAAGATTTAGCTCCTGTAAGGTCCTCGAATAAAATTAAACTTATACAACCAATTCTAGGCTGTCACAACAGTGCTGTTGTTTTGTTTTTATGGTTGAGGACACCGAATGATTTCACCTAAGACCCTAAAGAAAAGAATATTAACGATTGATTTAATGGGACATGTATTTATATTTATAACGTATTTATTAATTATGAAAAATTTCGCATAGCTTCACCCAGCAGGTCATTTAAGAATATACACTTTAGTGCAGCTATCAGGCTTCAATTGTATTTTAGATAATCCACCTTCCTGACATCTTAGGACTTAATAAATACGCAAAAAAACATACAAAGGGCGCGGTATATAATTTGTATTTTTCAAGCTTCAAAGAACAAGAAAATACGTTGTTGGTTCACTCCGTTCGTTCGACAGTCTTTGTCCCTCTTTATCGGATATGTAAGATGTATCGCCCGATACTAACGCGAGTCTATTGCGAGAGCGGTGATCTTTTACGTAATCGATTTTGCGATGTGATTCTTATTCCTAAAAATCACTATAAATGGTCTAAAATATTTTGACTCTCTATCATCGCCCTCTCTATCCCCTGTGTTCTGTGTGAAAAATGGTATACAATATAGATGACAATGAAGGCAGTGTCTGCTTCATTGAAGAAAAAAAAACAATATCAGATGACGATATTTAAGGGATTTACTGGTGATAGTGGGTAGTTGCCTATGTCAATAATAGTGTATGGTGATTGACCGACACAGTAACCTATGTAATCCTTCTGTAAAAAATACTATTGATAACTTTTATCTCCAGAACAAATTAAATATGTTTTATGTAGGCACATTATTTATATCATATTACTTTATTTGCTCCGTATTTTTTTCTTTTCGTTTGAAGGTTTGTTCAGTGCGGAACCCTCGACGAGTGTGAAGCACAAATTGTGTCTTTTAAACGACTAAATATTTCGTTTAAACGGCAGAATTGTTTTATTCAAAACACATTATTATCTCGTTTAAACGGTACAATCATCTATTTTAAACGAAATAATTATCAGTTTAAGCAATGTAATTCATCATATTAGTTTCAGATGGAATCTTTTATATAGTCGAGGGGTCATGGTAATCGAGTGCTTAGGATTTTGAACTCATGGTTAGAATATCTAGGTGTAAACCTCGGGTACCTTTCTTAGGGATATTCATATGACGTGTGTAGTCGTTTGTATTTAAGGGGCCTATATTGAATTCATAAGTTTTAAATAAATCAAACAAAATATTAGGCAATCGGACCAAAGGTTCAAGTGGCTTATGTCATACCCCATTTTGTTTTTTCTTCTGCTGAATCACCAGACGGAATTTAACCAAATTTGTTGCTTGTGTGAAATTTGGACAAACCACGGTTTAAATTAAATCTAAATATACTATATATAGTACAACCAACGGCTGTATCAGCAAATAACCTGAAAATGTTGTTCAATACTTCATAGATGTCGTTTATATAAACAAGGAACAAGATCGGCCCAACACGGATCCCCGTGGCACTTCAGCATCCAGGTTAATCTGTTTGGAGTAAATATTATTTGCTATTACATTTTGTTTCCTTCCTTTTATGTAGCTTTTTATTGAAATGGCTTCATCAATTCCATATTTACTAAATTTACGTAGGAGACCAGAGTGATATACACGATAAGAAGCTTTTGTTATGTCGAAAACAACAAAGCAAGACATTTCGTAACTTCGATAGCTCTAACACAATGGTGATAAATTTCTAGTAGTTGATGTATAGAAGAGCGATTAGGCCTAAATCCAGATTGAAACCAAACCGTAAAAAAACTGTAGCCTCTGTCGCGTTCACAAGGTTTTGCCTCATCCTCTCATAACTCCGATGCTTCCCTCTGCTATAAACTACAGCCTCTATCACACTCACAAGATTTTCAGAACTCTTTACGATACACAGTCTGTAACCAATGTACTGTAATTCTTTTATTTTTCATGGGGTAATGTGTTGTCTACTATGGGGTTTGGGCACAATGAGATTTGACTCGGAAATATATTTTGTATCGTTTTAAGATGATTAAGACTACATTGTGCACATGATCAAGTGACTTTAGTGTCTGGATAATCTGGGTGGTATTATAGGTATATACACAACACCTGCAGCTGCACCTGGAGAATAAAACTCATCAACACTGCGGATGTTTGTTGGTCACTTATAATCATAGTCATAGATTCATATTACAAAAGGCATTAACTAACACTTTACAGGTGTTTACATTAATACATGAACGAATTCTACCAATGGTATACAGATGGAAATTACATGATTTACAGATGTTAAATATATTTTCGTATAAAACAGAGTCGGCAGAATCTCTAATTTAAATAGAATCAGTGTTTATTGTAGCTTTTAGTTCCCAATTTAATTATTTCAGTTTAGCATTGTTTAGTTTAAGGAAATTACCAAATCTTGTGAATTGCCATTGGAACTTATCCCATTTCGGGACTAACATATGGTTCAATTTTTATTTCAATAATTCGCTTGGACAGGCGACCGTACTCCTTGTCACGCACAGCCGGGGAATAGAAACCACGCCAGTTGACTCAATGACAGACCTTATGATACAGAAGGAACGCGCTAACCATTCGCCCCCCTCGGGCAAAATCGAATACAAATTGTGACCTGTAGAGTGTACACAAACAAAATGTGGATGGAAGGACAAGGGCGGCAACGATATACAACCACGTGAGTTAATGGGCGTATAAAAACTTTTACATGTTTCGGCAATAAAGGGGGCTAAAACCTTAAAAATATTAATCAGATTTTGATGGAAAAAAATAAATCCTCGTCTTATACGCTTACCGAAAGTTTCGAAACACGCCAACAGTGAGACTGTTGTCCCCCGCCGAAATCCTAAAATAAATAGATGACACATATAATTAATCGCACATTTATTTTTTTCAAAAGTATCGAGCAAGCAGAAAATTCTCACCGTCGAACTTAGTCAAGGTAATGATATAATAAATCTATATTCAGAGTTTCATCGCTCTCACTTCATTATAACCAAAGTTATCGTGCCCCAAAGCATTAACTAATCAGATTGCTTATCTCTGCTTACTGTAAGCAGACATTGTTTATCATCGAACTCCACCTAATGAACCTCAATTAGAAGGAGAGTTATTGTGTTCCAAAGTCTCGACCAATCAAATTGCTTACCCTCAGCAGAAAATGTTAATTATCGAACTTAGTCAAGGTATTGATGTAGAAAAGGCTATACACAAAGTGTCCTCACTCTCACTTCATTAGAACTAAAGTTATCGTGTCCCAAAGGATCAACCAATCAAATTGCTTATCTCTGCTTACCCGAGGCAGAAAATGCTCATCTTCGAAGTCCATCAAGGCATTGATCTAATATACACCTACACCAATTTTGAACATTCTAGCTCAATTAGAAAGAGAGTTATTGTGTCGCAAAAAATGTGACGGACAGACAGACGGACGGACGGACGGACGGGCAGACAGACGGACGAACCCATTTTAATAGTTTTCTGCTTTCTTCGAAAGGCGGGGGACAAAAATCTGATCATAATTCTGGCCTCTATCGTGCTGACAAGCATTACAAGCAATGTGGACAGGTCTCAGGAAATAGTACAATGTAATCCGATATTAATGACAAACAGTCAAGCCAACAGTGAGGCTGGTGTCCCCGCCGAAATCTCAAAATAAATATTGATTAATTGCACATTTATTTTTTTCAAAAGTATATTGATCAAGTTTCACCACTTAATTAGAACTAAAGTTACCGTGCCCCAAAGCATCAACCAACCAAATTTCTGATCTTTGCTTACCCCAAAGTTTGAACAGTCTGGCTCAGTAAGAAGGAAAGTTATTGTATCCCAAAAAGTGTGACTTACGACAAACAGAAAGACAGACAGGCAGGCAGGCAGGCGGGCGGGCGGACAGACCCATTTTGATAGTCCCTTGCTTTCTTCGAAAGGCGCGGGACAAAAAATAGGGATTTACATTTTATAATTCAAGCTTCCTTAAAGTTTCAGAAAAATCTGATGAAAACTCTGGCCTCTATTGTGCTGACAACCATTACATTCAGTGTGGATAGGTTTCGACACAAAAGAGGCACAACCCTTAAAATTATTAATCAGATTTTGACAGAAAAAAATGGAACCTCGTCTTATAATACAAGCTTTCTGAAAGTTTCGGAAAAATCTGATCAAAACAGCGTGGATAGGTTTCGGTAAAAGAGGACACAATCTGATTTTGACGAAAAGAAATAGGGAGTTTTCCCTCTCTTCTCCACCCACCCCCCCTTACCGAAAACCTTGTGAGCGCGATAGAGGCTATAGTTTTCAGGGGGCACATAAAGATTTTTTGTTGGGGGGGGGGGGGGGGTGTTTAGCAAAAATGCGACCGACTCATGTACTCATGTACATGCCCCTATAGGCCAGTAGCGGATCCAGAAGCTGGGCGGTGGGCGGTTCCAAATCTAGGGCGCCATCCACAATCTCACCCACAATGAATGTCAACAACATACTGGCTATAACACTGAGCGTCCCAGTAGAACACAGATCGTATTGCCTACTATATAGTTGTTCCCCGATCGTTATCTCGCCGGAAAGCAGTTTTATTTAAGTTGACATAATGTTCATGTCATATAATATATTGATTGTTACTGATTTTGTTATCAAATTTATAACACTGAGCAACCTGAAAATATTTTGAAAAATTGAATCAATATCCTGAAAACGAGAGAACCAGAAATGGTAGTCATTGGGTCAGAATCTCGAGATCTGTTGACAGAACATTACATTTGTACAGTCTGATGCCCCACGCCCCACACACAAGTGGTGCCACTAAATGGGCAGTTCACTATAACCGTGAATATGATAGTGCTGAGACAGTATAAGATCACAGAGGAGTGGAAGAATGACGTGATAATGGAATCTTGCACCACAAGCGCAAAAAGATTTCATATATGTAATTAAGCTTTTAATTTTTGGGGACTGGGCCTGAAAATTGCTGTCAATGTCATGACAAATGGAACCAAATGCTCGTTAACGAGAGGATATGTAAGAAATGGGACAGAATCTTGAGTAGAAATAACAATTCTACAGTATGTCGCTCCACGACCCATTCACTAGTGGTACTACTAACTGGGCTATTCACTTGTGAAAATGATAGTGACGAGATGGTATAAGACAGAGGAGATGAAGAATGATGACATAATGGAATTGAGCGCCGTAGATTATATAACTGAGCTTTTCATTTTTTGGGACTGGGCCGGAGGAGACTTTGTCTCACGGAGGCGCTTTCTTGGTCTCTGGGGGAAGATTTTGCATAATTCTGATGAAAAATCAGAATACAATTTATATGGAAACCAGTGATTGTTTTTCCATATAAATTGTGTCGTGTTTTTTTAATGTGCTCAATCGCTAAATGCCACTCAAGGATTTTTAGAATTCTGATAGTCAGAAAATACTTACAGCATGATAACTTCTTACCAACTGTTCGACTAATATTATTCATATGAATATAGAGAATATATTTTGAATTATCAAAATCTTCGCAAAACGCTCTCTTAATTTCTTAGACCAACATAACAGAGAATTTTTTTTTTTCAAACATGACAAGTTGACAAGGAAATTCACAACTGGATGACGTGCCATTTTCTTAAATTAAATCCAGAAAACAACAGAGCTTCTCCTACTTGGAACTAAATAACAACTTAAGAAACTCTCTGTGACAAAGCTGAACTTCCAGCAATAGATCATCTGCCTTTCAGAAGTAGCAAAGAATATAGGTGCTATTCTTGATTCGCACATTAGTTTTAAATCTCACATAACAACGATAAAAAATATTTTCTTCAGCCTACTTTCTATTTCACAGAATTGCAAAAAAAACAAAAGTGTCTTTCTCTTGAATCTAAAGAACTTCTGGTCCCCTCCTTTGTTACTAATAGACTAGATTACCACAACGCACTTTTATACAAACTCCCGAATTATCTCATCCAACAACTTCAAACGTACAGAACTCAGCAGCAAGTCTTTTAACTTCAACCAGAAAATTTGACCATATAACGCCATTACTTAAATTTCTGCACCGGTTACCCATTGAACAACGCATCAAGTTTAAAATCATATTGATGACATACAAAGCACTGAAAAATACAGCTCAATCTTATGTGATAGATTTAGTTACTCCACACACGTCTCATCGATATCTTAGATCCTCCGATAAGAGTCAACTTAGTATTCCGAAGTTTAATTTAGAAATAGGAAGACGTGCCTTTTCTTTTTCTGCTCCTTCATTGTAGAACGAGACTCTAAAAAATATTAAAGATCTGCAATCCATAGAGTCAACAGAAACATTCAAAAACAAACCAAAACCCTGCTTTTTCACAAAGCTTATTCACATTGATTTCAAAGCGCAATAGAAACTATTAAAATACATGTATCAAGGATTATCATTATTATTATTCTATCCGTTACAATTTAGATGCACGGATTTACACAAAAAAAATTTCTCTTCTATTTTGGCATTGTTTGTTTACCTCATTAATTCATTTAGTCTGAGACCGACAGCAATGAGCACTTATTTTGAGACCCACTATTTTTTTCCCTCGGGGGAAACATTTCTGAGACCATCATGGCAACATACGCACAACAGAACAAGAGTGAATTTTTTTTTTCAACATGACAAGTTGACAAGGTTATTTTATACTATACAGTAGTTTTGTGTGACATACGCAATTTAGTTGCACGGATTCACGCAATCACATCCATTAAGTATTTGACATTTTTCCCGACTGTTTGTTTACCTCAATAATTCATTTAGTCGCCGGTGCATAATTTTGAGACCGACTGCAGTGACTGCATTTACTTTGAGACCGACTATTTTTCTCCCTGGGGGGGGTCCTTTGGCCAACATACAACAGAATAAAAGTGAAAAACTTTGGGATTTTCCTTCTATTTTGACATTGTTTGTTTACCTTATTTATGCAGTGAGCTCTTATTTTGAGACTGACTGCATTTATTTTGCGACCGACTATCCCCCACCCCCAACACCCCCAATTTATGCCCCTAATAGTTTTCCACGGATTCTTTTCAAATTTGGTGTGAAGCATTGTGGTCAGAGAGGACGAACCCTATCCATACTTAGGGTTCTGTGACTTTCCATTTTAGAGTCATAACCCTTAAAATTTTTAATATGGATCGTCGTCTTATAATACAAGCTTCCTGAAAGTTTCGGAAAAATCTGATCAAAACAGTGTGGATAAGTTTCGGTAAAAAAAGGCACAATCCGATTTTGACGAAAAGAAATAGGGAGTTATCCCCCCTTGTGAACGCAATAGAAGCTATAGTTTTGAACAGATTTCTTTCAAATTGGGGTCATTGGAGGATGAATCCTATTGATATCCAGCGTTCCGCTGTTATTCGTCCCTGAGTTATCTCCCCCAGCTCCATCCTTCTGACAACCTTGTGAAAGCGATAGAGGCTACAGTTTTTAACAGATTTTGTTTAAATTTGGTTTGAAGCATTTGAGTAATGAGGGGACGAACGCTATCGATATTCAGCGTTCTGCCACTTTCCGTTACACAGTTACCCCCCCCCCCGCCTTTTTTGAAAACCCTGTGAACGCAATGTTTTCAAATTTGGATGGAGGAATTAGGGTCATGGGAGGATTAACCCTAGCAATATTCAACGTTCTGCGACTAAGAAATTTGTGGTCGGTCGGAAGCTGCGGCAATTTTCATTCACATTCAGTGCGAGAATATGTGATGGACGTATATTACTGCCGTAATTGTTTCAAATTGTGTGGTGTTGAATCTGTACTTCTTGTGTGTAATGGTGTGCTATGTTGATATAAAGGTCCCTATTCACTTCAATGTTAAAATTGATGTTTCTGTTTTCAGAAAGTGGACATTGTCGCTGCGTTTTTCATTTGCCTTAATTCATTTTAAAAGCACATAACGTCTTTAATTTGGGTGAAACAAGTATTGATTAGTTGTTTTATATCCCAAGATATCTTTCTCCTTTTTATTATTTTACTTTACTTTAGACTCGGGGGTGTTTTCCTAAATTAACAAAAGGTAGGCCCTGACCGACAGCGCCACAGACGCGAACCACGCCGGCGGGGATCACGGAAACCTCCTCTAGAAAATTTTGAAAAATCGATTCCATTTTGTGGATGTTGAGGTATTTTTGATTAAAAAAAATATCATGTTTGCTACCTTGAAAAAAGTCACTGGACAGTGATAATGAACTATAGAAAGTCGACCTATTCTTTGTCATCACTTGAAAGACAACCATACAAAAATAAAAGAACAAATCTGATTGGGCATCGGCATCAAGACCATTCATTTATCATTTTTAATCTCAGGGAACTAACTACCCCACGCCCTACACATCTATTTTAACCAGCCGTTTTAGTCTGTGACTTGACTGAGGGAGTGTACCTTTCATTTTCATCTTCTATTTGTCATTAGTCGCAGTCAATATACCAGAAATATGGAAGACTAAGCAAATTCTTGGATTATCCTCTGCCAACTTCTTTTTATGTGGTTTAATTGCAGTGTCTGCTCTATGTTACAGTCTCTCAATAGACTCACATCCACTAGCCCTTCTATCAACATATAACAAGTGCTTCCTAATCACTTGAGCAGACAAATGCTGACAAGTTGCCAGTTACTGATATCCTTACATTTTAGTTTTGTGTGCACCTACATTTCAAGGAATCCAGTATTTTTCTAGTAAGAATATTGGGTGTCTCTACTTTCCATATATACCAAATTTGCCATAAGTTTTATTTGTTGGAAATAACTACATATACCCTATAAATACATCTTTAATTTCATACAATACCATATAGAAATATATGATGTTATGACCACAAATGTTTCAGCCATGGAGGTTTTTAACCTAATCAATTACCTCCTACATATATTAGCACATATTTATTTAACCTCTGTGGACTTAATCATTAGTCCACTACTGAAAAAAACTTAAGACCGAAAAAGCAAAGAAATGAGCAAAATAAAAGAGTGTGTCTTCGTATCATTGTTACATGATAAAGAAAGTAATTAAGACACAGTTTTCATTATATACAAACTAGGTGTTTTTTTTATTATCTTTACTCATATATATATATATATATATCACACATCTCAGTTATTTCCCATTTCTCACAATGAGGTATTAAACAAATACATAATAATATTTAAAAATAGTTTCAACTACAATAGTATTCCACAATGATAAATAATTTATCACAAATAAATTAACCAATTTACAGACGGGCAATGGCTCTCTTCATACAATTTTAATAGCCATGACAGAATTAATGAAATTAAGGTTTGCATAAGATTTTTAAAATATGCATGTTTCAATTGATGCTTGAATAAACATTTTTCAAACTACACAAGTGCCTGTCGAGTTATTAGAACTGCTGAACTACTAGTGATGTTATTTATGTATCTGTTAGTAAAATTAACTGATAATTGTGAAAATGAAATTCACTCAAAATGTTAAAACTATGTATAAATTTTAATGTAGAATGATTACAATTCAATTCACATGTATTGTTTTGAGTTTTTATTCTGATTTGCAAATCTAGCCATGTTCTGAGAACGTTTATTAGACAATTTCTAAGGAGAAAGGCAAGATATCTTTAGAGAAACATCTGCATACAAAAAACATTGTATATTTAATAAATATTAATAAAAAAAAAGAAGGCATAAATATTTTGTCCTCCTAGCTCAATCTTCATTCAGCAATATTACTGTGGCGTTTTTCACAAACAAACTAATGTTGTTTTACCTTAAAATGAAAGTTTGTTGTTATATTAAAATTAAATTAAAATAAATAAGAAAATCAACAGTTGCCAGGCCGATCTTGGAGAATTATAAATCCTGTACTGTGGAGGTAGACTCGAGCAGAAACTGTGTTCATCTACTACTTCTGAACTAGAATACAATAACATGGCAAATTTTAACAGATGGTGTTTCATATCCCGCTTTAGTAGTTTTCTGAATTAAGTGCACATTTCATCATAAACAGTTTCGGGAAGAGTTTAATGGATTATAGAGTCATTTTAATCAGTCTTTAAGTCTTAATAAACACAGTATCAATGTAGATATTCGCTAACACTAGCAAATGCACAAGATCCTATACCAGCTTTCGCCATAAGTTTCATGCATTCTGTGGCCTGAGCTATGGCAACTTCAAGTGGCGGTTGTTTTTGCAAACCTTTAGATTCTGAAATGAAAACAATAAACAAAAAATTAATTACCTGCCTAATGAAAATATGTAAATAAATCCTAAAATATGGACTAGTTCTTAATTATTTACATTACATTTAATAACAGTCAATGTCAAAATTATTTCAATCATGTGTCTACTAAATTTACAAATTTTTTAACAACAATTTAACTAAAATAGTATCCTTGATTTGTTTCGTCTTTATGATCATGACTGTCTACGCTACATAAGATCTAACATTTATTAAGTATCACTGAGTAATGCACGCTTCAGTGAGATTGTTAATAGATCAGTAAAAGCTGCATTTTCTTTGGCCGTTAACAATACACAATAAGAAAATGACACAATGATAAAACATTTCAAATGATAAATACGAAATAAAAAAAGAAAATAAACGTTATGGTCTCCAACAGCCTTGGTTTATAGTTTTAATAATAATATAAATACTTTACCTAATATGGCACTATTTAAAGCGGCACACACTGGTTCTCTTTTAACAGGTTGTAATTGATGACCTACTGGACTATTCCACGGATCAGAATATGCCAATAAACTAAAAGCATCCTGAAAATAACATAAAATAAAATACTCAAAAAATTTTATTCTCATAAATTCTCATAGCTTGCCAGGAAAGGTAACATACACTAACTTTGTCAATCATTGCTATTGAGTAATTAAAGGGGAGTAACAAATTTTAGTTAACAATCATAAACATCAGTGGCAATAACTCATTATTCCAGGAGAGAAATGGGATTTAACATCCACCCGACACATTCTTGGTCAATTTTGAACTAACATATGGTTTAATATTATTTCAACAATTCTCTTGCGTATAAGAGTCTTTAGCCGGGAGCGGAAATCACTAGACTCCTTTCCCTCCATTCCAGAAGAACTCTATATAGTGCAAGTACAAAAAACCATGGACTGACGGATGGACAGTGGACAACGACAGGGTTCTTAATCATTTTGAAACGAACTGGCCATAATTGGGTCAAATGAGGTCTAAGTAGGAAATTCGGTAATTATAAGCCACCATTCCTTTCACTTCAACAAAAATTATTCTTGGTAATGTATGTGATTATCACAAAAATAACGACAAATATAGGTACACCTTTCCATATTTAATTCACGTACTGGCATGAAGTTCACATTAGTGATATTCCTGAATAAATTACTGTCTTCGTTAATTCGATGGATAAAGCAAAACGTTCGGGATAAGATATATATATAGTTCATCAGTCGATCGAAAAAAATCAACAAGCTTGTTTTTGTTTTTTTCTACCGGATTATGAAATTAGCGCTAAATGTACTAATTATGCAGATTATGAACCAAATGGCCGATTCTCACTATTGTTGCAGACAAACAAGTTGATACAAGTAATAATTAACCCATTGTAATTTAGCCGAAAATTGATTGATTTATGATACCATTATGGATGGTTCAATGTTTTATCATTCTGCTTTTTCAGACATCAAGCGGCTGAAGGCGACAATAATGGAGTATGTCTTAACAAGCGGTTGCCATGCAAGATACGCCCACGTTTTGCAAACAAGCTAATTATAAAACCGATTTTTTGTACAATCAGGGGCCATAATCCAGAAATTTATGGTCTGAAATGTGTTTTAAGTTTCATCAAATTCGGATAAAAATTGTGACCTCTAGAGGGTCCATAACCTTTGTATTGCATACTTATACACAATTTGCATACAAAGAGCGTCCATTTTGTCGGGCAGTTTCATTTCGATTACCCCGAAATTCCAATTCAACCTTCATTACGGTGAAATGGTGATATATCTAAACGGTTTTTTCGAACAATCAGGGGCCATAATCCTGGAAGTTACTTTCGGATATGTGTGATTATCGAAAGGAACCAAGATCTTTATGATAAAAACATGTGCCTCTAGAGGGTCCACAACTTTGATATACATGTACTATATTTTTAGGGGGGTTGGGTGGCTGAATGGTTAGCACGTGCGCGCTGTACCATAAAGTCTGCCATTGAGTCAACTGGCGTGGTTTCGAATCCGCGGTTGTACGTGACAAGGAGAAGGGTCGCCTGTCAAACTTCGTGGGTTTTCTCCGGGTCCTCCGGTATCTTCCCACTGCTAAAGACCCCTACACGCAAGCGAATTATTGAAATAAAATTAAAAAACCATGTCAGTCCCGAAATGACCTAGTTTGTGTCGAGTGGACGTTAAACCCCATTTCTAAAATTCTAACTATATTTTTACACTTTTTGTCCGAAATTCGAACTCAACCATCATTAGTGTATAACTGTGATACATGTATATTCACACGTTTTTTTTTAAATTGGATAAAAATCGTGAACTCTATAGAGACAACAAGCTTAAAACGCGATTTTTCGTACAATCAAAGCCATAATTCAGGAAGTTACGATGCGATATGCGAATATATCGAAAGGAACCAAGATCTTTGGCTTATAAACAAGCACTTCAAGTTTCATCAAAATTGTAACCTCTGGGAGGTCCACAACCTTGATATATACCAGGTATTAACACTATTTGCGTACAAGGGGCGGCTATTTTCACCGGCAGTTTTGGTCCGGTGATATACTAAAACGTTTTTTTAAATTGGATAAAAATTGTGAGCTCTAAAGGGACCACAAGCTAAAAGCACAATTTTTTGTACAATCAGGGGCCATAATTCAGGAAGTTACGATCCAATATGCGCGAATATCGAAAGGAACGAAGATCTTTGGGATATAAACATGCATTCCAAGTCTCATCAAAATCGGAACAAAATTGCGACCTCAAGAGGGTCCATGACCTTGATATACCATATTTTACACTATTTGCGTACAAGGGACGGCCATGTTGTCCAGCAGTTTTGGTCTGATTTTCACGAAATTCGAACTCAACCAGCGTTGCGACCTCTAGGGGGACCACAAGCTAAAAACGCGATATGAACCGATATGCGCGAATATTGAAATGAAACAAGATATATGGGTTATAAACATGCATTTCAAGTTTCATCAAAATCGGATCAAAATTGTGACCTCTAGAGTTGTCCACAAGCTAAAAATGTGATTTTTCATACAATCAGGGGCCATTATCCATGAAGTTATAGTCCGATACATCTCTTTGGGAGATAGACCTATATTGCAAGTTTCGTCAAAACCGGATAAAAATTGTGACCCTTAGAGTGTCCACAAACATATTGTGGTAGGATGGGGGCGACGACAACATACATCCACATGTGGGTGTATAAAAAGTTATCATTAGATCAGCAGTGTATGCTTGACAGTGATCCTGTGCTAAATCATTAATCAGCAGTGAACATATATTCTTGGGTTTTTTTTCAAATCGTCCTTATAAATTCTGCCATGAAAGAAATATGCAATGCAGAGTTTCTCCAAACTTAATTTTCAATAATTTTATAGAGGATTCATGGACATCACTGAGGAATGCTATATTAAATTTTCTGAGCTGAGTTCACTTATACTTCCCCTCTCCCCAAAACAACCAATATTAATAGCACTACTTACTTGTAAAGCTCTTTTATTTGCATCATTTTTACCAAATTGTCTACGAAGTTGTTCACTCATACTCTGAAGACCTTTACCGTATTGTAACATTTTACCTATTGCTTCTTGATTACCACCACATAGTTTTCTTTTACTACTGGGACAATCAACTTCTGTTAAAATAATAATATTAATATTTTACTGTTAGGACAATTTACTTATGTTAGAATATTCAATAACATTAATATTTTATTGTTAGGACAATCTACTATGTTAAAATATTCAATAAAATTAATATTTTACTGCTGGGACAATTTACTTATGTTAGAATATTCAATAATATTAATATTTTAAGGTTTGGACACTCTACTTATGTTAAAATATTCAATAATATTAATATTTTAATGTTGGGACAATTTACTTATGTTAGAATAAAGAAGACTAATCTTTCACTCCTGGGACAATCAAGTTAATACAAGTTACATAATGCTATTCATCTCCTTAATCTGAATTATAAAATTTGCTACTTACTGAACAAATAAACCATAAAAAAAACTTTACCAAATTATTCAAATCACACCTATTGGTAAATTTTTGTCCGTGGTTAATAGCACATATTATTAGCTTATATCAAAACTCAAATCTGATTTTACTCAAATTTATAACTCTCCCAATGCCTAAAATATGAAAGAACCACAACATTTTCAGGACTGGGTTGAAAACAAAATGATTCTGTTTTGAATTGCATACTTTTGGTACTGGTGATAAGCAAATAAAATTTGAGTAAAATTCAATTGAGCAAAGCCTGAACCAATTTTCCGACAGACCCCCACTACACCTTCACATGAATAAGGTGAAATATAATTAAGTTATAAACCTACCCATTTCTTCAGTGTAATCATCGTGAGAATTGCCATTCATACACACAGAATCCGATTTACCGTTAGTCACAACTCTTTCATCTATCAATCCATCAGTCATTTCTATATCGTCATCTATATATCGTGAATTCGATCCATTCACTGAGTGATTGTCATTATTCACACTATTCATTTCCTCCTCTATACGATGTAAATCCGTCTGACCCTGTAAGTTCTGATTTTGTGTGTTAAGACCTTTGACTGATGAGCGACTAGGGCTGTTATTACCCGAGCCAGTGGGAGTTCGTTGAGGGTGGAGATTATTTGAGCTGCCATAATGGACTGGACTCATAGTCGGACTGGATCGATTACTACCACTACCGTGACGAGATTTAGGACTGTGAACTGACAGACCTCGAACTTCTGAATCTGTGCCGTTCACCATTTCAATAAATTGTCTACATTTAAGTGTGAATAGTAAATTAGGATTGCTCTCCAATAAACCTGGATAATAATCTTGAGTTGTATTAATGGCTTCACCCATTCTTCCTGCTAACACTAGTTTCTGTATTTCTACAATAATAAACAAAAGCACAGACAGAGACATGTAAAATAAAATTCTGCAATTGGTCAGGTCAACCATTGTCCAGTCATTTCAGACTGATCACAAACACAGTGAGGATAGCTTGTCCATATCCTAAGGATTTTACAGGATAAACAAGCCAACTGTGAGACTGCTGTCCCTCACCCCAATACCATAATAAATAGATGACATTGTTGCTTGAGCAATTAAATTCTGTATCACTCTGTTAAAACGTTAGCCGAAAATAACCACAATGGAACTTAGTCACGCTACTGTTGTAATGAAACTATACAGTAAATTTCATCACAATCACTCGATTAGAAAGAAGCAAAATGATTATGTCTCAACCAATCAAGTTCTTATCTTAACTTAATCTTAGCAGCAAATGCTCATCATTGTGCTAAGTTGAGGTATTGATGTAAGGAAAGAATATACATTATACATGTACCTAGTTTCATTTGATTTAAGGAAACGATATACCAAGTTTCATCATTCTCACTCATTTAGAATCAAAGTTATTATGTTTTAAAGCCACAAGCAAACAAATGGATTATCACTGCTTAACCCGATTGGAAAATACTCATTATAGAACTTAACGTATTTGTAAGCAGAAAATGGTCATCATCAAACTCAGTCAAGATAATAACAAAACAAACATCTACACCAAGTTTGAACATTCTACCACAATTACAAGCAGAGGTATTGTGTTCCAAAAGTGTGATGGAAAGGAGGACCATGGATGAACCCTTTTTAAAAGGCTGGGGACAATTATTTAAAATTTTCACTCAATGGCAATACAATTACAGAACATGCTGAAGTTGTCTAAAAATTTTGTTAGTCCCAAATACTTTTTAAGCTTTCTAAAGTACATGTACATGCAAAATTCTGACCCCTTTAAATCTGTGCCTGGTCAGGTCAACTTGTGTCCAATCATATTAAATCGATCTCAAAGCTTTCCATTTTCCATGGATTTTACAGGATAAACTAGAAACTTGATTGGAATAAACCAATCTCAATAGTATTTATTAAAGAATGATAATACTGAGATCATCACACAGTTCACAATGCCTTTTAATAACTGATATAAATGAAATATTCTCTTTTAGAATATTCAAGTTTTCTGACTTACTTTGTCTGTTTTTTATTGATGCTATATCTTCTTCTATAGGTTGTGCTGTGACTTTAGAAAATGCTTCAGCAGTTGAACAATATCCATGATGAACCAAATAAGTGGAAACAATTCTGTAATTATTTTGTAATCCATACAGTAATGACAAGGGATTTAATGTCTCATTAACACTTTGCCTACCGGTAAGTTATTTTGAGTCTAACATTCAGTTATTTTTAAAATGCAATAGGGTTACATCATAGTTTCTGCCTACTAACTCTTCTTAGAATTCAACTGTCATGGGTTCTTTTAAATTCTTTAAAAAATCCCTCAAATAATTCAAATGATCCGAGACTTTAAATAAAATTTAGTCAACTCAAATGGGTTATTCAGATAATAAGTGAATTTTACCTGCAATAGTTATAAATATTCATTCTCCTACGTTTCCTATGGTTAAGTTTTGGTACAAAGTGATCAGATAGATATGATTCTAAGATTTCGTAAAACCTGTGTAATATGGATTTAGTAATACCTGTGTAATGTGGATTGCCATTCTCCTCTTCTATCACTAACTGGAAATCTTTCTATAGTCATTCTTGTCTTCATTCTATATTCCTTTAATTAAAATATATTTTATATTGTGTAATATTAGTAACATGTTATGATGCATTTAATTCAAACATGTATATATTATAAATATTGTTACCAAATGGGTTCTAGTGTGAATTATACACCAAAGTTTAATCAATATTGCCATTACCTGAGGTATAACATAATGGTAGATAAAAAATTAATTCCACACATGACTCAAATTTTTGTTAACATTCTATTGTGGGCGATATAACTAATCCTCATTCACTATAAGTTCTTGTTCCCTGTGGGGATTCTATCAGTGTGATAGGTAATGGTATCTGTATTAATACTGTGAAACGAATATTATTTACAGTATCAAATGGTATATAACAAATAGAAATTGTACCTTCATATAATCTTCTATATCAAATATAAATGGTGCCTGACCAAAGTTTGCTTCAACAACTTCACCTGGTGTCTGTAGACCTACTGTAGGATATAGATTTGGCTGAAAATAAATTAAACAAAAATAGTAGTTTTCTTTATTCTGCTGATCATCATTCGAGAATTTTACAATATTAAGAAAGTTCAATCTGTATTAGAAATATCAGCCCCAAAATGGTTCAATTTTATTTAGTATTTACAAAGGTATGATGACGACATAATAATGTCAGTGTCACCTATAAATAAATGGTAAAATCTTTTGATTGGGCCTTTTTTAATCCAAATGAATTCAAGCCGCAAGATTATCTACTGTTGATGTTTTTGTTTTCTTAATTAAAGTAACGATGAGTGATTTGCTTTTATTGGACACTTAAGACAACTTCATTTCCTTTATATATTTTGCATCTCTTGATGTTTTTTTAATTAAACACAATACTGATACTTACTGGTAGAGCAGTGAAGGCTACCCCTGTAAAGTATAAGAAATAAATTAATTTTAGTTGTATCACCAATTAAATATGGAACATAGGTAAAAAGCTATAAATAAATATAATGACACAAGCTGCAATTTCCTTATTATAGACAGTTCATTTTTACAATACATTATTATTTTTTTTCTCTCATAATCAAACCAATAACATACCAAGGTGAATGCCATTTTTGGTATAGAAACAGGTTTTTTCCACCAAATTAACACAACAGCCAATGACATCACCGGTTGTAAAAGTTGGTCCATACTGTTGTCCAGCACCAGATGAACAAAAAGAATTGCCATCATCACCATGAAAACCATACGAATGTTTATCCCATCCTGCAACAAAAGAAAAAATAAAGACATGTACTTTTAATACAATCTGCAAATATATTTCTCTATTATCTCTTTGTAATGATCAATAAATAAAGATCATTAAAACATTGATGAATGTATTTAAGTATCAAATCAAACACACATAATTACACTGCATGTACACCTACATGTATGTAGTATACATCATACCTTACATAGTAATACTGGAAGTAAATATACCATCAATACCATTTAACTATTTTTTATTTATTTACATAGTGTCATAGTAAAAATCTATTACCTAGTACCAATATCACCTACATGTACATAACATCCACTGGGAATACAGATAGATGACTTTTTAGTGGGCAATATTGTCAAGCAAGCAAGATATAATAATTATAATAGTAGTAGACAGGAGCTTGTCATGTCCTACATGTAGTTCCTTCAGGAACGGTCTCTGATTAGTCTGATTAGACGCTATCCTCTAACAGTTCCTATTCATCCCTATATAGCTGCAATTTTTTTTGAATCCTTACCCTCTATTTTTCATTGTGATTTTTTTTTCGCCAAATAGAATCATTCAATTTACAATTATTTGACACTGTTTTCCAGTAGAATTTTTGGATTAAAAACTCATGCGGTCTGGGCATACTCGAGCCTCTTTAATGATTCCCCGCAAAGGGAGTGTGAGAGAGAGAGAGAGAGAGAGAGACAGACAGAGAGAGAGATGGGTTTAATATCCACTCAACACAAACTAGGTCATTACGGGACTAACATATGGTTCAAATTTATTTCCATAATTCGCTTGCGCATATCCCCGCAAAGGAAAGTTGAGGTGTGGTGAGAAGCACAGGAACGAGAGCAGACCTTAAACGCAAAGGACTGTTGTAGTATGTGATGCCATATGGTAATAAAATTCAAAGCGTTGAACATACGGTTCAAATTTATTTCCATAATTCGCTTGCGCATATCCCCGCAAAGGAAAGTTGAGGTGTGGTGAGAAGCACAGGAACGAGAGCAGACCTTAAATGCAAAGGACTGTTGTAGTATGTGATGCCATATGGTAATAAAATTCAAAGCGTTGAACATGAACATTGGAGAATTCTAGCTAGCACGTCCATAAGCAATTCTCGATGATGCTAGAACAGGCAGAAAAGCATGGCGACAAATGAAAGAAATGAAATGGGGTTTAACATCCTACTGTTCTGCTCCTAAACTGGGCTAATGAAGACGGGCATACGCCATACAGTGTGCTATGAGGGAAATTTTGCCCGGGCAGCGGCACTACAGCCTACTCTTATATCGAATTCCAACTGCCAAGGGATCTTTTACGTGGACGCCAATGTGTACACGGGACCTCGGTTTCTCGTACCATCCGAACGACTAGACAGCTGTCCTTGTCAGGCCCTCCGTCCTGCATGGTGACAATGTATGATCACATTTCAATGTGTACATATAAATTCATTTCAAAACTTTGTCCTGTATCGTGTTCAAATACACATTTGACATTTAAATTCTGATAGTCTTCTTCCTTATATAATGAACAATCTCAAGAAATCTGACTTTTAAGTGCTCACAAGAAATTTTAGGTAGATAACAAACCAGTGGACACAGGAGACGACTGCATATATATATACAACTATATTAGATGTTGGTGTATAGAAAGGACTATCAGTAATCTTACTATAGACAACCTTAGGTCCATCCATATACTTTTTGCAGATCATATGAAATACAGATTAATCTAATTAACTTTTGCTGACTCAACATTGTAAACATCATACTCTCACAACACATACAGTGTTAATTATGAACCAAGAAATGAATTATTTGGATATTGTGCAGACATAAATATACCTCACCTGGTAATCGGTTCATATTAACACCTTGAGCTGACAATCCTATTCCCATATATCTGAAATATATAATATGAAATACAACACTCAAAATGAATTATTAATACTACACCCAAAATCAATTATACTATAGAACTCCATGTTGCTTTTTATTGCTTTCCTGATAATTACCAACTACATTATTGGAGAGTGTTACATTTACACAAACATTGGTCTGTTGTTATAATTTCCTACCCATGTGCATAATAGACACTTGGCCATAATTTACCAGAAAGCAGGTAAAAATTATTGTAGTCTATACTATATTAAGGTTGTACTTGTTGCATTGTAATTCTATGGGAAAAATCTTTATCCTGTAAGATACAGTGTATCAGCAGGATTCTATGACATAATCTCAAAGTAAGCTTAATCGCATCTCTGTTGATTGGGTTAAACTATCAATATATTAACAATTTCGCCTGACTTTGACATGAGCAAACAAGCCAACAGTCTGATGTCCCCCGCCAAAATCTTGAAATAAATAAATGCTGAAATCAAGGCATTTACATGTACCTAATAAACGCACACACCAAGTTTGAACATTCTAGCCCAATTAGATGGATGGACGAACCCATTTTAACAGTACCCTGCTTTCTTCAGGGTACAATAATGTGTACAACTGCGCATTCTTGTAAAAAATAAAATATAAATTGTGACCCCTGGAAGGTTCATAAGCTTAAACCAAGTTTTTTCGTCCAATCAGGAGCAAAATCAAACTCATTCGAGATCTTTGGGATATAGAAGGTTCACAAGTTAAGAACACAAATTAATTCCAATATTATTGTTATTATTAGCCCACTCTGAATGCATGTGCAATTGACTGATTGAATATAGTTATGTTTATGTATTATATTGTAAATAGTGTACATATTTCTTTTGTCTTATTTCTTTACATGTTAAAATTTTGGGGAGAGGGATTATATAGGTTTTGGCCATTTCCCAATCCTAAAATAAAATAAAATATTGTTTATAAAAAAAAAAATTAAAAAAATAATCCAGGCGGTCATGGTCCAATACATAGGTTTACTAAAATATTTATAATAAATTATAAACATATATTTTAAGCATCATCATTATTGGAAAAAAATTGTGATTTCCAGGGGGTCCACGTGTTAAAACCATGATTTTTTGTACAATCAGGTCCAATAATATAGAAAGTTACGGAACGATATGTTCAAAACACACTTCTTGGTCCACAAATTTGAACAATCACATCAATTTCAGCAGATCTGGTTTTAACTGATTTTACAACATAAAGAAGGCTGTAAACACAGGAAGTTAACAGAAATTGCTGAAATTCA